GGCGCTGGGGAGAGCGTGGGGACAGACCCCAGAGCAGCCCTCACCTGTGGGGAGAGGTCCACAGCTGGGGAGAGCAGGCGAGGGCAGGGCAGGTGTGTGTGGGGGGTGGGGGTCTCAGTGATGGGGCCAGCACGGGGCGGGGAGGGGCTGCCGCCTCCTCTCCCCGCCTCCCACCCCCCCAGCGCTCCTTGGCACCTGCCTTGGCCGCGGTCTCCCCTCACCTCCAGCCTGTGCTTGGCTATTCTGCCCACACTTTAGCCAAGCTCACCTGTGCAGGGCCCCGGAGTTGGACAGACACGGACTGGGTGAGGACGGTGAGGACCGACTGCCCCCGCCCCGTCACCCCTGGGGGCTCAGGTGCAGTCCCTATGGGGTCCCCAGCTGGGCAGAGCCCAGTCCAGCGCTGAGCCCTTTCGCCCTCTTTAGTCACGCTGTCCCCACGGAACGCTGGTTGACAGGTGCAGAGCACAAGGCAACTTGAGTAGGAGACTTCCTGTTGCCACGAGGGAGACCTGCAAGGGGTCAGCATAGCTCCTGGGGATACCGGAAGTGCGTGGGATAGGCGAGGAGTTCGCAGCAGTTTGCTGTGTCTGTGGAGGGCCTCTGGGCCCAGGGAGACTTGAGCCCTGGCAGGGCGAGCGCAGTCATTTTCCAAAGCGAATTATGTTTGTAACGCAAATGAGAGTTATTTGCAAAGAGACCATCCACCATCACTGCTCCCCTCCCACCCTCTCTGGTCCCTGGGGACCCCCCCCCCCACAGAATCTGTTGCACCCTGGGCCTCTTTCTGGCAGCACCGTGAATCATCATGGAAATGTGGACGCCCCCTAAACGTTCCAACACAGGGAGCTGGTGACATCCAAAATACGCCCTGGCGCCATAGACCGCTCGGAGCGCTCACCTGCCGTCGCCAGCAGGTGCACGTGCCAGGTGCACGTGGGAACTATGTCATCAAGAGAAGACAGAGGAGTAAAACCTTCTCACCTTTCACCTAGCTGTGCAAACGCACCCCCACCCCGCAGCCCTGTGTAGGAAAGACCCCGCAGGGAGGCGCGCGAGCTCACCACGCAGTCACCTCTGGGGCAGTTGCTGCATTTTCAAAGTTTTCTGTTTCATGAATCTTGTCTCCGGATGCGGCGAGGCTAGTAAAGCCACCAGGAGTGAAGTAAACCCGAGCGTTCAGCCGGGAGCTAAGATGCCTTAACAGACACCGATGTGGGCGTGCCTGGGTCCCCCGGGGGACTCCAGCTTCCTGCTAGTGCCGGAGTGACGGCTGTGGTCACTGGGTCCCTGCCACCCACAGGGGAGGCCCAGGTTGAGTCCTTGATTCCCAGTGTCGGCCCTGGACCTGCCCCAGCCATTGTGGACATTTGGGGAGTGAACCAGCAGATGAGAGGTGTCTCTCTCAAATGGTTCAAAAAAACTAAATTTTTTAAAGTTTTATTTAGTTCTGAAAAGCCGGGTGGGAGGCTACCTCTCAGTTGTTTGTTCATTCTCCAAGTGTCCACAGCAGCTGGGGCAGGGGCGGGATGAAGCCCGGAAGCTGGAATTCTATCTGCGGCTCCCACGTGGGTGGCAGGGACCCAAGCACTTGAGCCATCACCTGCTGTCTCCCAGGGTGCGATGCGCAGGACGCTGGATCGGAGGCAGAGGAAGAATCCCACCAGGCGCTCTGCCGCGGCGTCCAGGTGTCCTGGGCGGCGGCTTCGCAACCGCAGCACAAGGTCTTCCCTACAAACTCAATTAGAAACCCTAGAAGTGCACGTGATGTCTGCTGGTCTTAATTTAGCTTCTTAAATGACTTCAAAGAATACGAAATCTCCTCCTTATTACTGAATGAGGCAACAATAGAATAAAACTGGTGTGTTTTATGATAAAGCATCCTCAGGATGTTAGCAATGGTTGGGAAGCCCGAAGTCTCCAATCCATCTGTCCACCCTTTCATCCATCCGTCCACCCATCCATCCACCCACCCATCCATCCACCCACCCATCCATCCACCGATCCATCCACCCACCCATCCATCCATCCACCCATCCATCCATCTACTCATCCACCCACCCATCCGTCCACCCACTCACCTGCCCGCCCATCCATCCATCCATCCATCTACTCATTCATCTACTCCTCCATCCATGGGAAGCAGAGCGGCCAGGACTGGAACAGAACTGGCGCTCATGGGGCCGCGGTGGGCCAGGCCAGGGTTCTCCACTTGGCAGCGCCTTAGCGGAGCGCTCCCTGCACACTGGGCTCCGGGAAGGCAGCGGCAGGAAAGCTGGGTCTGCCTGGTTCTGTCCTGTGTGTCAGCGTCACACATGGCAAGGGTGCGAGCCATGAAGGGACAGAGGCCTGGGTGGAGAGTGACGCGGGCACGGCCTGGCTAGTCTTCCTGGGGTCTCGGGGCAGGCTCCATGCCTAGGGCTTCAGGTAGGTCCCAAGGACTAAGCTTGGCATGAAGAACGCACGTGGGCCGGCGTGCCTGTGCAACAGAGAGGGGAGGCCAAGGCGTCGGCAGGGCTGCCTGTGGCTGCCAAGTGGGGCGAGGGGCTCCTGACTTCAAAACCTGGCTGTTCACCCACCGATGGCATGGGAGATGCAGGCGAGGCGCGGGCTACATCCAGGGCGAGTCTCTTGGAAAGAGGAACTTGGCGCAGGGGTGGGAGCCAGGCAGTGAGAGCGGAGAGAGAACCGGCGCTGGGAGACTCCATGCACGCTCCGCTGGCCCCTTTAAGAAAGTCGTCTTCTCTCCTTCAGGTTGCTGTCCCAGGACTGACCTAGAGAGCTGCAGCGTCCGTGTGTCCAGCCCCCAACTTGCATGGTGGGATTAACGCCCTCAGGAGGTCGCAGAGGGCCAGCCCGCCCCTCCCGCCACGGGAGAAGTAGGCAGAGGGAGCTGGGAGCCGACGAGTGGGCCCTCACCGCAGAGTGGAGCTGCCGGATGGGGAGGAGCAGGCACCAGCGAGTGTGGGTCACCCACTTGGTGGCCTTCTACGATGGCAGCCCACAGGGACTAAGGCGGGGACACAGGAGGACTCAGCGGGAACAGGGCTCAGGGCGAGCACGTGGGGGTGAGGAGCTGGAGAGGCCCCGTTTGGGATCTGAGTCAGCAGCATACAGGCAGACGAGGCTGTCAAGTTCATGACATCTGCAGGGAGTGTGGGAAAGGACGGCAGGCTCCAAGTGAGCCCTGGGGAACAAGATTCCAGGGAGGTGAAGAAGAGGATCCCTGGACGGGGCGGAGGGGCAGCCCCTGGCGACACCAGGCTTCCAAGATTAAAGGCACGCACTCGGGAGTCAGACGGCCTGGGTCTGGATCCTGGTGCCCGCTTCCTAGCTGTGGGACCCCGGGGAAGGAGTTTACTTAAACTTCAGTTCCTTCCCCCGACACAGGGCTAACGGTGATTTGCTCTCTGCTAATTAGCCTACTGCTGTTTCAAGCAGAGTGGTGTAATACGCAAGACGGGTTCAGAGGCAAAGGACTTTATTGCTCAAGGCACGGCAGGTGACAAGAGCCCGCACGTCCCAGGGCCTGGATGGGTGCTGTGCGTGCAGGTCTGCCCAGCGGCTGAGGGGCACTGAGCCTGGGGACTCCGCCTGTTTTGTAGCAGGGAGGAAGCAAGTTTGCTCTCGGTCCTGGAGGCACCTGGAGGTACCTGCTGCAGACACAATGCCCAGAACTGACCTGGCGCAAGAGTGGTTACGGCTTGCCAGGGGGAGCAGAAGACAGGGAGGGGCGCCTGGGAAGATGCTGGCCTGGCAGAGCTGTGGGGACGAGCGCGTGGTGCGTGCATGTGCAGGGCTGCCAGCCGCGCTCTCCGAGTGCCTGCCGTTACGAGCAGGGGTGCCGCGGTGCACGAAGGCAGGGCTGGAAACCGCACGACCTCACATCAAAAGTGGAGAAAAGTAACAATGAGTATCTACTGAATGCTTCTATGTGCCGGGCACTGGGGACGGACGGCACACGGTGCCAGACTCCAGGGGCCTGTGTTCCAGGCCAGACACAAATACCACATCAAGCGTCAGGGCCGTGGGAAGCAGGACTTGGAACTTGGAGCCCCTGGAGGTGTGACCAGAGGCACACAGGACCGATCTAACAGGCCGCCTGCAGCGAGCACTCGGGCGGTGGGGTGCGGCCATGGAGAGGTGGAGCAGGGAGACCGGCTTAGGAGGCAAGGCCTGATGGGGCCGCGGCTGCTCGGGCCCTGAAAGGGCCTGGAGAGAACCCGGCAGCCAGGCCTGAAGTGGGAGCCAGGCAGCAGCAGGGTGCAGGGCCAGGGGCTGGGGTCAGTGGGCAGAAGCTGGACAAGAACAGAAGTTGAGATCTTGAAAAAAAAAATATTGGAAAAGCATAGGATCCAAGCATGGCGAAATGCAGGGGTGCCACAGGAAGGGAGAGGCAGCCCAGGCGAGGGTGGGGGCGGCCTCTTCCATCAGAGCTGGGGAGAGGGCGGCAGCTCAACAGGTTCACAGACGTGGCAGCCACATTCCACGCCAGCCTCCACGTTCTCCGTGGGACAGGGAGCACAGGGCTCCCCCACAGCCGAGTGCAGGGGGGTGGAGCCCCCTGGAGCATTTAGAGATGTGGGCGTTGCTGGCTGAGAAGCCAGTGGGGCACGGACCGGGTACAGAAGCAGAGGGGAGACGGGCCGGCAGGACCCATGACCGCGGGAGGGGCCTGGTGGCAGTAGGGCAGGAAGTGCGGCATGGTGGGAAAGGGGCAGGCATCTGCAGACAGAGCCAAGCCTGCCCAGGGCCCCAGCGCGGGCAGCAGTGGAGCCGGGGGCCGCCGCAGGATGAGGAGCGGCCGGAGCCTAAAGCCGCACAGGCACCAAGCAGCTTCCGCGCAGGCCGGAGCAGCCGGGGTAGCCGCCGCAGCCCAGACCGCGGTCGCCCCGAGCAGTGGCGCCAGCTCCCTCTTCCTCTGAAGCCGTCAGTTGCGGGTTTTGCACCCCAGGCAGAGGGGTGTGGGGGACGGAGCAGCAACACACGCAGGCCAGAGGTGGTGTTTCTCTCTTTTATTTAAAAACAGTGCTTCATTACCGTTTGCAAAGGCTGGGCCAGTACCCCTCCTCTGCTTAGAGTTTATAAAAGCCAGCAACATGATCAATAATTTATACACATGGAGAGTAATACAAAAAAAATAAGGAATAAAAGCTAAGATCTAACTACTCCGACCTTCACAATTCCAGCTACTTGATAATAATAGGAGTAACCCAATGAATACTGTACGGTCTGACGGCTACTATACAATTATGATCTTAACGAGAAGGGAGGGGTCGCGGCCCAGAAAGCCCTGCGCGCTTCTCGGTGGTTAGCAGGGAAACAGGACCCTGGGCGAGCAGCTCGGGTGTCCCAGGCGTGATTCTGGGGGCGGGCGGGGAAGGGCAGCGGAGTGGCTGTCAATTGCACGAGCATCCCACGGGAGGCCCCCGGCCCCGCCGTACCTGTTTGCCTTGGCAAGACCGCGTGGCGCGTGTGGGGATGGGCCAGTCCCCGCCGTGGGGAGCGGAGGAGAGGTTCTGTGGCATCGGGAGCCTGGCAAAGATTTGGGCCGAAAAGTTCAGACTTGGGCAGGGCCGCTCGGCTGTGCTCTCCGCACGCAGCCCGGCTTGTCCGGCTACTCACAAGCAGAATTGTAACACAAGAAAAAACGGTTCCTGTCCCTTAGGGAAAAAAAGAGGGTCACGTCATCACTCGCTATGTACTACAGCCCGCAGGGGCTGCCCCACAAGCACGCACACACAATACTGTGAACAGAAACACGGGGACCGCTGGGCGGCGAGGCTCACTGCGCCCCGCTTGGAGCTTAAAGCACTCAGCAGGCCCCGGAAAAACCAAACAACAACAAAAAAATTCACTTAAAACTTCAAAAACGTGTGCACCCCTGGGGCTCTGGTGAGGGCGGCAGGGGCGGGGGAAGAGAACCCCTGTTCCCTTTCTGCCCGCCAGGGTGAGCGGAGCCCTCGGTGCTACCACCAGACGGACAGGACCTCGTCCCCAGGCCGCCCGTCTCCTTAAAGGCAAGGCCTGTGTTTGGCTGCCGGGTGCTTGTCTCAGTTACCGACCCCTGCCAACCAGTACTACCATGGCTGAATTGATCTACCGTTTTCCTGAGTAAACTGTACCTGGCTACAGCTGCGGTAACGTGGACAAGGGCACGGCCGCCCCAGCCAAGCGCCCAGCTCCGGGAGCTCGCGCGCTGCCCCGGCGCCTCAGGCCTGGTGCATGGGAGCGGAGGCTGAGGACGGGCCGCAGCCCGGTCTGGGGTGGAAGCCTTTTTCCAAAGCAGGGTGCCAGGGACCCTCCCCCACTCACCCGCTTGGAGGGCAGCCGCTGGCGAGGACACCCAGAGCCTGCTGGGAAGGGCCCTGTTTCCCGTCCAGCTCCCGATGGCTCCTGCCCGGGCGGTCAGCAAAGCAAGCGCGGAGGAAGTGCACGGGGCAGGCAGAGGGCTGGAGGCTTTCGAAGGGAACATTTCCCGAAAGTAGACAGCGTTGCATGTCACAGAGAATCAAGTTTCACTGGTGCATACTACAAATGGTCAAACATTCTCAAGAGCATGACAAAATAAAAACACACAAATTCACGTCTGATGGTCACCTTGCCCACTAACTGTTTCCTATCTTAAAACAGTGCAAACTGAACACAATGGGACCTGGGACTGTGCTGCAGAGAGCCGCAGGTCGGGGAGCCTCCCCTCCCCGCCCAGTGCCTTTCAGACGCCCCTGGGCGCTCTGGCGTCTCCCTGGGCCTGCTTTCGCCCGTGCTCTGGAAGCTTCGTGACTATTATGGGGTGGTGATCAGCCGACTCAGCTGCTACATCTCTGGGAGAGCGTCAGCTAAGCTAAGAGCAGTTGAGCCCTGAGGAGTCCGTGCTGCGGGGACGGCTGCTTTCGCTGGCTTCTCCGCACGAGCTCTCCTCCGCTCCCCCGAAGCTGGGAGCTGAGCCCCAGTCTACTTCTTTCTCAAGGAAAAAACCATGTTGATTGAATTCAGCCAGTGGCTGTTGAAGGGTGACGGCGATAGCAGTTTCTGTTAAAGCCCAGAGCCACAACAATGATGAACCACATGGCAGATCCCAGTTAATCGAGGGTGGAACTGAGTGACTCTAGGGATTCTGGAGGAGACCTGCAGGCTCTCCGGGCTGAGAGAGAGAATTCAGGCAAGGAAGCCGGTCTGGGGGGCAGCCGCTTCACACGGGAAGTCCAGGCGACCCACAGCAGTGAAGCTGAGAACATCGCCGTGTGCTGGGACCCAGCTCGGTGAGCTCTCTGGGACCACCAGCCAGCATCCTCCAAAGCGCTGAGCTGAGCTCGCGCCAGCTGTCTGGCTGCTTCCTAACCCGACAGAAGAGCCAGCAGCACGCACTGCAGCTCGGGCCTGGGCAGGGCTCACGTTCGGACTCTCACGGTTCAAAAGTGCAGGCGGGAGAGGAGGCGGCGGCGGAGGAGGAAGCGGAGGAGGCGGCCGACAGGTGAAATCTAAACGCTTATGAGGGCCCCGACTGTTCTGAGCACTGAAAACCCAAGTCCCCTTTGCAAAAAGCAGACGTGCACTTCACCTTGCTAAGGGAAGGAGCTGGAGGAAGCGGCATTGCACAGCGCACTGAACGTGGAGCAGAGCCCTCCTGGGAAACAGAGCTTGCCTGTGGGGCCTCAGCCAGGACCAGCTGAGCTGAAATGCACACGAGGGAGCTCACGCTCCAGCCGCCTCTTGCACAGGGCGTGGAGCTGCCTCCCCTACCTCCCCGTCATCCTTACCTCTTTCTTGGAAAGAGAGGCTGTCTCACACGCACCCCCCACTCCCTTACTACGCACACAGCCAAGGAAAACCGGGCCTCGCCGCCACAGGGTACGTGGGAATGGCCCCGACTGGGAATGACCCAAACTTCTGTTTCCTTGTCAGTACAAGTTCTCCCTTGAAATCAAAGGAAGAGGAACTCCTCCTCGCCCCAGGCCCTAGAACTGTGACCTATCCCTCTCCTCTAACTAAAATATTTATACATGTGCAACAGAAATGGGCTGCACAGCAACAAACCCGACGTGGGCTTGAGGGAGGGACGCCCTCAAGGGGCAGCGGGGTCCTCCCCAGGATGGAGAACGGCTCTGGGACGTCCCCAAGCCATCTGTGTACACACGCCCAGCACGCAGCACTCCGCGCACAGCCGGCTCAACGCTGCTGCACGTCAGTCATTCTAATTCGGGGCGTGAGCCAGCTGGCAGTCAAGAACACATGTGGGAGAGGAGCGAGCAAACATGGGATCCCAGCAGCCCCATGACAAAGCAGCAACGCCACGTCTCTGCTGCTCCGTTAGCAGCTATCCCCGGGGTGAAAGGTCACCCTAGTACCAATGCGGATCGGCCAGGGAGCCAAACAGGCGTGCTTTGCCAGGTTCTAATGCCTTCGTCTGGAAATGCCGTGGGAGCCTTGCCCCGTCGGCTCTGTCCAATCCTAGGAGAGAAGCGCTGTCTCTCCTACCTCGGTCATAACCAAGGGGGAGCCACAGCCGGACAGCAGTGACTCACTGCTCTTCCTGGCAACACGGAAGCTCCTTGCCGTGCGCGCCCCCTCCGCTGCGGGGAGGGAGCAAGCTCAGGGGCTCCGGCCCCGAGTCCTGTGGTGTTAGGTGTACCAAGAAGTCCAGGTGCTCAGCGGGCCGTCTTTGGAGGAGGGCGAGAAGCAGGCTGGGACAGCCACGAGGGCTGAAGGCTGTGGACAGAGAAGGGCCTCCCAGAGTCTCTGGAAGATGAAAATTCCTATGGCTTTGGAGCGAGCACAGCGTGCCCTGGCTGCCCTGACGCGTCCTGCTCACGACACTCCCGGGACAGCTGGCCTGGCGCTGGGCCGTTCCCTGCCCCAGATTCTGTACTCTACCTTTGTGCTCTGTCTGTACTGACTTCCTGATGCAAGAGAAAGAGCGGGAACGGCAGATCTAAGGTTCCTCTCCTCGTCCTCACCCTTCTCACTGTTTCTCAGCTCTGGGCCCAGCGAGTGGGGGAATCTGGCCCTGGACGACTCGTTCTTCCTGTCCCTGGCTCCTAAATTCCTGAATTTGAGGACGTGGGAGCAGCACGTTAATGAAAGAAGAGAAAAGCTAAGCCGTGGTTCAGTCAGAAGGGGAAGCAGCCCAGCAGGAACGCTAGGGTTACAGGAAAGAAAAGAAACGACCACTTTCCTACTCCAGAGCTCACCCGGAGACGGGTTTTCTAATGAGGTGTCTCCCATCCACAGTCTGAGAGCACGTTTGGAAAGATCAGGCTAGGATTCCAGAAGCTCTGCCAACCCTCTCAGGCTGTGTGTGTAAGATGACTGTGAAAAGAACGGGGGAGAAGGGGGGGAAGAGGAGCCGGCTCCTGCTGGCAAGCACAGGTTCCTATGCGTCAGCAGGTGGATTCCAGCCACAGCCAATCAGAATCGCCTGCCAAAGCCCAGACACTCAGAAGACCGGAAGACGACGCTGTTGTGGGAAAATCTCGTCCAGTCTGCACCAGAAACACTTTGGTAATTCTGTCTGCTGATTTCTGATCAGATGCATTTATCAGCTCCTAATGTCTCTCCTTCCTCATTCACTTCCTCTTCCGTGACTGACAGAATAAGCTAAGCACGGACATACAGACATGGAAATGCATTATTATTTTTTTTACCACAGTTAAAAAAAGAAAAAAAAGAAAGAAAAAAATGCACAATCTTTGGAACAAAAGAATTAAAGGCAGAAATTTAAAGGAAAAATACATATTCAAAGAACATAGTGAGGTATAAAAAAGTATTCTCTTTTTTTTGTGTTTTTTTTTTTTTTTGTGTGTGTGTTTGCTTTCCTCTTCATCTTGCTATAGAGTTCCTCTACTTAGTAAATATTGCAATAGCCAGGCCTCATGGACTGGGGGCTGTCCCACTTGCAGGGTCTCACGTCACTTCAGTAGGGGGCAAATCGGCTGTAGCCACCTCGGTATAAACTCGCCTGCAGTGATTAAAAACATAAAAATAATTAAACGGTTGGTGAGAGAAAACATGAAAAATGAAGAAAAACGTCCCGCAAAAGGATCTGGAAAGAGGTTTCCTTCAGAGCCAAGACAACCAATCAGACACTGCCCCACGCAGGGCCAGCGAAGAGCTTCGCCCGTGGGCATGCGGCCCAGCACCCAGCACACCCTGCTGACCAGACGCTCTCGAGGGAGCACGGTGACGTCCATCAGCCCAGAAGCAGGCCTGACACTGTTAAAACGAGTTCTGCAAAGAGTGTGCTTTGTGCCAGCGGGGCTCGAGGCCGACCTGGTCGACCGCTCCATCCCAGCCAAAGACAGGTGCGGATGCCTCCTCCTCCCACCATGGAGCACTCTGACCAGGCCACTGCCTTTGGCAAGTGCAGTTCTGTCCTATGTAAGGTGGTTCTGTATCCAAACCCGAGTCAGTCTTTTCAATTAGCAAAGTCTATTTCCTATTCCATCTATACAATACGCCAACCAGGTTGTGTCTTGACACACATGAACTTGTATCTATACAATACGCCAACCAGGTTGTGTCTTGACATACATGAACTTGTATCTATACAATACGCCAACCAGGTTGTGTCTTGACACACATGAACTTGTATCTGTAGCGGGGGTTTTAGTGATCGATCCCAAAAGTTCTCCTGTTTTCTCAAATGATGCCATCTAATGGTCTATCTCTTCGGCCAGAAGTCCCCAGTACGGGACTTGCATCATGGGGGCGCCAGGGCAGGCCTCAGGAGCGCCCCCGAGTGTCCTCGTGCTGTGTGTGCTACCTCAGTCTAAGTGCTTTTGGCCTCCAGGGCCTGCTACGGGCCAGCCGCAGCCATCTACCGAGAAACCACGCTGTCCTACTCCAATCCGGCCTGTTTCACACTTCATTCTGCCTCACTCGGATCAGACAACCCAGCTGCACTGGCTGGAGACAACGCGTGCCTCCGGGCGGTGTCCCTGTCTCCTGTCACGGCTGGGGAGTCCCAGCTACGCCAGCCAGGGCGCTGGTCAGGAGGCGTGCTCCACCTGAGTGCCACAGACTTGCAGACTTCCGAGAGCGAGTCCTGCCACAACTGCTGCGGACAAAGTGACCTGAGAAGTGACCCTTGGCGATGCCGAGGGCCAGGTGCCAGGAGGCTTCAGAGAAGCAGACATTCCTTGGCACCTGCGTCTGGAACGCAGACACACCACGTTTTTTGAAAAGCTCTGTGAAAACTGGAGAGCCTTATGCCCCCAACCCAAGCCTCTGCCAACGCCCATGGATAGCACTGCGCCACAGAAGGCACCTGGAACGTGGACAGAGTAACCGTCCACTCGCTCCCTCTCTTCTCCACCGAGTGATGCCCTTACGCAGGCTCTCACGGCTTCCTTCTCTCCGCTGCCCCAGGCAGGCCACGTGGCCACGGCACGGCATGGGGAGGGGACGGAGCGGGGGCTCTACTGTGTTGGCAGTGGGTGAGGGGCCGGATTCGTTACCTGCCTAGATCTTTCCCGTCAGCGGGCACAAGTTAGGGCTCAAGACAGAAAGGTCCACATACTCACCACAGCGCCAACTCCATAGCTAGCGGCAGGGGCAAGGGCATGGTAGGGGTCGGCTGTGTACACCCTGCCATAGCTGAAAAGGAGAAACACAGTCAGAGGCTGGGAGCTACCGAACTGCAAGGGCAGCTGTGGGAGACGCGCGGGTCACTCGGACCGGGCTGTTGTCAGGAGGACTGGCAAGGATGGGTGAAACCTCTCCCGCTTCTACTCGCAGGGCGGTGACTGACACACCCTGAAGGGCATCTAGAAACCAGAGTAGATGCGGGTTCGAGGTGAAGAACGGGGGGGGGGGGGGGGGGGGGGGGGGGCTGGGGTTCAAGTCACAGGAGGGGGGGGGGATTTGGGCCCCGTCTGGGCTGGCGGCAGCCTGACGGAGGAAGCGCTGTGGCAGATGGCAGAGGCAGGAAGGGGCGTGGTGCCTGGGCCGGGGCCCCGCCCTACGTACCCGTCGCTGTAGGCGGCAGCGGCGGCGGCCGCGGCTGTGGCTGCGGTCGCAGTAGCGGGCTGTGCGTATCTGTAGGCTGCATATCCACCCTACAGGAGAGAGGAGGACTGACTTTACAGACACGCTTCCCCCGGGCCAGGCAAACACGCACCCGCCCACGCGCATACACACACGTGTGGACACAGGGACAGACACGAACACGGACAACATATGGGAAGAGCATGTTTCAAACTGCCTCGGTCTGCATGTTATGGTTCTGAGAAAATGCGATCCATTCAGCGCAGGGACTTGCTTTCGTCTGTGACGCAGCACACTGTGCACGTGGGACCTGCTGCACGTGAGCAAGGAAGTAGCAGCTTGGATCTTTCTCGCGTCACAGTCTTGGCTGGGAATTTCAACAGTGAAAATGTCAGGGCAGGTGTTTGGCGCAGCAGTTAAGACGCGACTTGGGATGCCCGTGCCCGGTCACACTAACAGAGTCAGGGCCTGGCTCTGCTCACTCCTGATTCCAGCTCCCTGTGCAGCCTGGGAGGCAGTGGACATGGCCCTAGCAGTGGAGGCCATGACAAGAACATGGGAGATGTGGATTAGAGTCTCTGGGAGGGGGGGGTGAACCAGTGGACGAGAGCTCGCTCTGATGCTTACTATTTCTCTGCCTTTCAAATAAAAAGAAAAAACAATGGGAAAATAGTCACGGGACGCTGGGGAACGCTAACTGACAAGGAATGTACATCAGAGTTAAGCACACCCCCATTAAGTGGACATGTGTTAACTCCAGGTGCTCTGATGTGTGCTTGGATTGAGTCGCTGCTGGGAGACCACAGCACGTAGCTCTGCTCCATCCAACCCAGGAGGGCTTTGTCAAGAGGCTACGATGATGAGGCAACATTTAGGAAGGTACACCACAGAGCAGGGGTCGGCAAACTTTGGCCTGTGAGTCAAGGCAGCTTGCACCTGTCTTTGAAAGTAGCTGTGACATAGACCACATGGCCTACAAAACTAAACTATTAACCTTGGCCCTCTGTGGACAAAGTCTGCCGACACGACCTGCACTTCCACCTGGGCTGGGCTGGCAGATCAGGGGCCACACCCAGCCTCTGACTGCACTGACTCTCCTTCCCTGAGAGGCGAGAGTCTCACGGCCTCAGAGCAGCCGCTAGGGCCCTCTGCCCACGGTGCTTACTGTCTGAGCGCGACACCACCCCGACCAAGCGCATCTCCCAGAGGCTGTCGGGTCGGGCTGAATCACACGGCTCTCTTCACAAAGTGTTCCAGCAGCAGGGCCACGGGAGACGAGCAGTGCTGAAAAGTGGCAAAGCCCCACTTCCTTTTCCCCTTCTAGAATTTACGCCAGGCACCTAACACTAACCAGATGTGAAGCCCTACTACTGCCCTTTAGCTAGCAGGGAGGACGCTGTTGAATTGGTCCATGCGGGTGCCAGTCAAGTGGTGCACAATACAGCGCATGCGGGGGATCCTGGAAAAGCTCAGCTACGCGTGGATTTCAAAGTTGTTTTGCACCAAAAGAAAATTATCTTAGAATTCCATTTGTCCATGAAATGTCTGAAATGCTCTCATTTTATTTCTATAGATTAAGTATGTCCATTTCTCATGAACTTCTGAAATTTTCTATTCCTTGAAAATTTCAACTTACATAAACCTACAAACTCCTGTATCACTTCTTGGGATTGAAGGCGAGTGCTTTTTAATGGGAGCCTTGTTCATGGCTATCTGATACACAGCAGCTTCTTTCTATTTCTGGTGAATCTTATTTTGGAAAGACCTGTAAATCATACAAGAAAGCAGCTGCTTCCTTGTTCTTGTGTAACTTCTGCTTTCTCTAACTGGAGGAACCGCACTGGAAGGCAAATTTATTCTTGCTGCTTAAACTGTGCCGCCTGAGGCATCAGGGGCAGCTTCAGGTGCGTTAGACATCCCGGCTTGGCTCCCGGCGTCTCTGTTCTTCGAGTAAGTGCTCTGAAAACTCAGCTTCTGTGTGGTTACAAATTCTTCCACAGACACTCACAGAAACAAGCGGATTCTAACGAGTATCACCGGACGCTGGCCAGGCAAGGCTCAGATGGGGCTGGGCAGGGGCTACCCTCGGGGCAGCTGGAAGCGAGCTCCCCGGGGCCCCCACCAGCTCTATCTGCCGGCCTTCAAAGAGCTGGTGGAAAATGGAATTAAAAGGTAAGTTGACTCTGGTGCAAAATTTTAAAAAATCCTTGCATAGCTTTTTCATAGTATCTATTTGCCTTCTGTTTTTGGCAGAGCCTTTAGTTAGCCTCACTAACTAAAGTATTTTCCCTTTTTACAGCTTCTAAAGCAGAAATGAAGCAGCAGAGCCCCTGCGGACCTATGCGGAGGTGACCTCCGATGGCTCAGGTCCTCGGGTACCTAGAGAAGGCCTCTTGGCTCACTAGGAGAGTAGGGGAGCAGCAGCCGCAGGCCAGCCCCAGGGAGCGTTCTGGCAGTAATTCAGTAGTCTGTGGTTTGTCTTCTTGGTGTTCCTTCAAATACAGAAATAATCTTTGAGAACTTCAGCAGGTAATAAAAGCAGTTGGACGCTGGTTCAGATTTGCCTAGCGGGCTGCGTCACCGGCCCGCACAGCAGGAAGGCAGAGGCAGCGATTCCCGGGACGGACGGAGGTGCGACAGCACTGGGGACCCCGGAGCGGGCAGACAAAGGTTAGACTCATCCTGAGCATCCTGTCAGACCCTGGCTTTGAGCCGCAGTCCGCTAATTCTAGAAAGAGGGGTGCCTGGCAGACGCCTCTCCCCTCGCTGCTCTTGCCTCCAGAAGCCTTGGGGACCGCAGGGGCTCAGGAGCAGGGCTGCACTGCCTGGAGTGGCCTGCGGGGAGGACGGGAGAGGCGCCCGGTGCAGTGGTTTCCTTCTTTTATACCCAACTCTGCAGCGTGAGGATGCTCTCTGCCTCTCAAGTTCAAGGACAGGGATGCAAACGTCTTACTGATAAAAAAGGCTGGAGAGGGTGTCAGCATTAAAGAGGAACCACATTAGTAGTTTTTTAGAAGGCAGGTATTTCAACGTGACTGCTCTCCTAATTGCTTTACATGAATGGCACCAAGGCCAGGCCATCACAGAGAAGAGGGCTGTTTGGGACGGACAGGTAGCTCACCAAGTTAAAGCAATCAAGTTGCATACCAGGGTTTTACTCCTCTTAGATATATATATTCTTAACTCCAAAGTATTTCTGCTGCTGCTTATACCGCTTATTCAATAAAATGTATCTCAAAATGTAGGACGAAGAAAATTGAGACACACTTATTTCCATTCTGGATTTTGGAGTTTGTCCAGATCCAGGCCAAGAAACTGTTTTCTCAACTCCCAGTTCTACTAGCCAAACTTAAGGTTTTTGAAGAACATGAGAACAAAGTGCAGTTTGAAACACCAAGGTTTTCATTACTGTTTTTTAAGTTTTTCCAAAAGAACAAAGGTGGGAAGGAGAGAGGGGAGGGGACTCAGGCGTGGGGAGGGGGCATGGCGCCACATTTATTAATCACATTAAAAACTAAGCATGCCAACATCTGGAGCTAAAACAACCAGCAAAATCACCACGTTCAGACTCGGATTGGCTAACTCTATCTATCCCAGCATTCTCTTGGGACAGCGGTTCGCCCTAGGCTCTACCACAAGCTCGGTGAAGTACACAGCCTCAATTACTAGAGCGTGCAGCCACACGACCTGGGATTACGGAAACAGTCAGTCACCACTCGGAGTTAACATTCCAGACCCTAACGCTGGCCCCGCCCCAGCCCAAAGAAAGAGTCGATCTTGCCCACCCTAGCCCTGGCCCACACCACGATGTTAATAATTATAACAAGCAGTAACCCATCTGTTATATCAGAGAAGGGAACAGAGACTCCACTGAGAGATTTAGAGTGAGATGTTAACATTTCTTCAGCTGACTGCACAAACAAACAAACAAAAAAAGAGGAGAAATAATTCATTTGGAGATATGAAGTCATGAAGTAGCTGATGTGTATTGCTTTTAACCATGCACTGATGCAAAACTGAAGCAACCATTAATAATAAAAATGAAAAAGAACGTATGTGTTTACACACAATCAGACCTGTTTGATCTGAAGCAGTTTGCAGATTCTATCTGTGTGTGATTTGAAATAAAACAAAAATGGGGATTAGCATGGCCACAGCACACCCTAATGTAGCAGGGCACACACAGACAGCTTTTGGGGACTCTCAGAGCTGGACAAATTTGGCATGGCTAAGCCTGATTCAAATACACACACGCCCCGTTACAACACTTTCCGGTTCCTCTCTCGTTTGTTCTGTGTGACTCCTGCTGTTTCCCACTGACACAGCCCGAAGCCCGCATCACACCTCTGCTCACCTGCTGGACCCTGAGAACACAATTCAGTCCTGTGTAGCACTCCTGTGCTCACCTGTCAACACCTGGAGCTGCCTCCTGGATGGAAACAGTTTTTTTTCCTGTATCTGTAACATATCTCTGACTTCAACTTCCAGCTTTTTTTTTTTTTTTTTTTTTTTTAAATGCTATTGCCTTTCAGAGCCTTTTCTGGAACGACTTTTGAGGTTGTTAAGGTCTCGGTTTTCCACAGCTCAGTGTCAGCTCCTTCCGGAGCTCTCCACTCTGCTCTGAATCAATTTTCCAGCTAATTATAACTTCATCGTGTCCCCACATGGACCATGATTTATGGAAAAAACACAGAGCTGTGTTTTAAACTAGACCAAAACAGAGGAGTCCCCAACACCATCCCCACCGCTCTGACCTTCACCTTCCACACCGGGAGACCTGCCTGTCCTGATGTTAAACTAGCCTTCAAAATCACTCCTTCTGTTTCAGGTTTACATTAAAACAGGACTTTGGTGAGCATGTGATGTCAAGACACCGTCTTTCTACCTGGAAGACAATGACACTGTGTGACACTGAGGAGGAAAGTGTGTACCACTGTGACCAGCAGACAGAATGAGAGCTGTTACCTACAGGTAGTGTATACATCAGCAGAGTGCGGTGGGGGCGGGGCTGGCGGGGGTGATGCTGGAAATCCCTACAGCAGAGCAGAGAGCTGCTCCGACCAGCGTGGGGTTGATGCTGGGCCGCTGGGAACCACTTTATTGTCCCCAGGTGGTCCTAGCTCCCTCTTCTCCCTCAGGCCTCCTCACACCAACTGAGAACCACTGCTCCAGAGCCATGACAGAGCTCTTATGTGGTAATGTGGCACCTCTGATTAAACAGAGATAACACAAACTGGAACACAAGAACATTAATATGGTAACACTGCTGCTGCTTTAGATCGAGACTCATCTACCTTGAAAAGTAGTTATGAAGAATTTTGAAAGAAAAGTAAATTTTATTTTATTATTTAAAATTGGGGGGGTGGGCAGCACTGTGGCGTAGTAGGTAAAGCTGCCGCCTTCAGTGCCGGCATCTCATATGGGCTCCAGTTCAAGTCCTGGTTGCTCCACTTCCCATCCAGCTCTCTATGGCCTGGGAAAGCAGCAGAAGATAGCCCAAGTCCTTGGGCCCCTGCACCTGTGTGGGAGACTTGGAAAGAAGCTCCTGGCTTCTGAATAGCACAGTTCCAACCACTGTGGTCAATTGGAGAGTGAACCAGTGGATGAAGACCTCTCTCTCTGCCTCACTCTGACTTTCAAGTGAATAAATAAAACTTTGAAAGAAAATGAAGTTGAGGTCAGGGATGATATTGCCATGCTCAGCGTGATACCTTCCACTGAGTTCTCTGTGAGAGACGAGGGCCGATCTTTAACGAGTCGGACCTCTCAAACTCTTTACTCCTGCACATCTCCCCAAATCAGCTCAGTGCTGAGCTCGCTGGGTAGCCCCCAAACTAAACTAACCAAAGGGCCTGTGAAAGGCCACTGACTGCTTCCTTTCTCCCAGCGCCCAGCCATCAGCAACCTCCTTATGCGTGCGGGCCTATCCCAGTGCCTCACGCCTCCTCAGAGGAAATGGCCTGCTCGGCCTCTGAGTCCCAACAGGTCCAGCATCCGCAGCAGCGCCGTCTAGCTCCTACTGGGCTGCACCTGGAGCCTGACGTGGGGTTTACCCGGGTTCTCTCTGGACAGTCCTACTTCTCCCCCATTTTCACTTCTTTCACGACATTAAGAAAACGTCCCCAACTGCTAAGCTCTCCAGTATAAAGAACAGTTTCCACAGCAGGGGCAACTGTGATGGTCAAATGAGAAGAGGTGGCAGTGATGGGACGGTGCATGTGACACGCTGGCGCAAGGCCGTGGCGGTGGGACGGGCGCTGGCTCTGGGGAGGGCTGGCACGTGTGGGATGTGACTGTGCGCTGCTGAGGTGGCAGGGCTTAGATCACACGCTCACAAGTCTCGATTGTCCAAAAAAGCCTCTGTTCCCATCTCTAACGTGGAGCTGGAATGGTTAGTATAATTCAATGTTTTCACTGCAATCCACAATCTGATTGGTTGGCAGGTCACACTGGCACTCCTACCTGAGGTATTTTAGCGCTAATGATTGGTTCCTGTAAGACTATTCTATAACAGAACACAGGAAGAGCAGTTCAAAAACACAGCTGTGGAGGGAAAACAATCATACAAAATGCCCGCTGAGGGCGCACCAGCCTTTTCTTTCCTTTGGATGCAAGCATGCTTTTCACAGGGGAGCACTGGGACAGTTTGTTACCCTCTTACAAGGCAAATCGGGGTGAACTGTGCCTTTTCTACTGGCCAAAAAAGCAGGGGCCGGGGGACAGATCCTCCCAGCCCTATCATCTAGGTCTCTTTCCACACCATGGGCACGACTGTGAGGGAGCAGTGCTCCGGAGAGAAATGTGCCTGAAAGAGACAGAAAGGAAGAAGATGCTAGCAGGGCTCCCTGACTACGACACAACAGAGAAAGGGATTAAAAACAAAACCAAACAAGAAGAAATCTCCTTATTCAGAGCAGGCCGAGTTTCCCTAATGTCTTCTCTCGGGCTCTGGTTGCATGCACTCCTTAGAGCAGCTGAACGCTCCGCTCTAACCTGCCTTCCTGAGGGACCGAGGACGAGGCGCACGGAGAGACCTCCAGGGGTGGGGCATGCAGAGGGAGGCAGACAAACTCAGGGCAAGCGACAGTGTTCTGAAGAAGCAGCCCTCGCTCCCTCACACACGGAATATGCATTTGCAAAGCTGGGATTCTATTGGGCTCTTCTATTGGGCATAACGCACACTTAGTTTTCTTTAGGGGTTTCAGACGTTACTTCTGCAGTAGCAATCAACCTTCTCTCCCAAGTCCCTCTGCTTAGGAACCCAGCAATGATGCTAACATTACAATCGACTACTTTCGCCAAGGGCGTGCTGGTAAAAACCATCTCGGCCAGACCAGAGACTGCTTCCGCTCAGCTTGGTGACGGGATCCAGGGAGCAGACACGGAAAATCAGGAGTGTTTTCCCAATAGGTTCAGAAAAATCTCCTCTCAATAAATCTTAGTTTATAAAGTAAGGAAATGAGGGAACCATAAACAAATATTTGGTTGGTTGACAAGGTGGAAGTAGGCAATTCTGAACGAGATAGAACAGGCCATACTTTTAAAAAAAACCTTGATTTACGAAATAATTGAAAAGGAAAAGCCTGCTCTAATAGCCCAGATTTCAAGAAAATAACTTAAATAACAGAAAGATGAGTTTCATGAACATGGAGACCAATGTACATGGAGAAGCCCATGCCCGTCCACATGTGACCGTGTGCATTTAGAAATGGCTGATTCGGTGCAGAATGGGATGGACTCCCCCCGTCCTCAAGTTTCACTGGGAACGTGGGGAAGAGAAAAATACGTTGTTACTTCTTGAAGCCCTTCAGAGGAAAAGAGGAGGATTTCAGCTAAAGTACAGAGAGGTAATGTAACATGGATTAGTTGGGTTTTATGCTTGGCTATACGAGTAATTTATATGATTCTGGGTAAATCATAATCTGAAAGACATCTGTTAAGCTGGAGGGCTGGACCAAGTAGCATTATATTAGGCCCACGCTGAAGGCCTGCTCTGAATTGTGTGGTTCCGTAGTCACCTGTACTTTGGGGGACTGTATCTACCATCTTATCTCTACTTTCTGCCATACACAAGTCTCTAAGTGTATTCTTAATAAGTACAGTGATTTTTGTGGTCTGCTAGAGAATCTGGCAGACAGTGGAAACAGTCACTAAGGAGGTACTCTTACCGATTCTGGGAGATCAGGGTAGAAAAAATATTTCTAGGTAATTTCAACCTATCCCCTCAGAATAATCTCAGCTGACAAATTTTCCTAATAAATTCCTTTCTCAATCACGTGGGTAACTAGGTCAAGCTTGCCTTCAGAAAGGTTCTCATAGAAGACTTCAACATCAAAGACTCTGGGGGCTGATGCTGCGGTCCAGGGGGTTAAGCCACCACTTGGGATGCCTGCATCCCATATCAGAGTGCCAGTTTGGGTCTGAGCTGTTCTGCTTCTGATCCAGCTCTTTGCTAATGTGCTCGGGAAAGCAGCAGCAAACGGCCCAAGTGCTTGGGCCCCTGCACCCACAGGGGAGACCTGAATGGAGTTCCAGGCTCTTGGCTTCAGCCTGGTCCAGAACAGGCTCTTGTGGCCAGTTGGGGAATGACCCAGTGGATGGAAGACCACATCATCTATATGTTAAGTAATATGTGACAAGTCAGTCATAGAACTTCAGTTACAGCTACTTTAAATAATGAACTGCACGTTAACATGGCAAGGAGGACAGGACTCTTCGAAGAGAAGTCTGGGCTGCTTTCTATGCCTGTCATTCCTCTGCCAACCCTTTTCAGGAAGGGTGCCCAGTGGCTGTGCCTCTGGCACTGAGTACCTGGCCCCTCTCATTACTGAAACTCTTCACTGGCATCTCTACCTCTTCTTCATTTCAGTCTCACAGTTCACGTTCTCTCAAAGCAGGTAAACAGGAAAACACACAATTCAGAGTGCTTACTGACACCTGCACAAACCGCAGCTCTAGTGGTCTACAGAGGGATGTGAAATGAGAAGACAGGTAGAAAAGGGAAAGAGCTTTTACACGACTCAGCTAGTCCTGTTATTCACATATGCAAATGGTAGGACAGCAATAAAAGACTTTAAACCTGCTGATCATCTCAGGTAAATTAGTGGACCACAGACATCTGTGGGCAGAGGGAAGGGAAAAGAATATGTCCAGTAGCCGGGCCCTAGCGATGATCAGGAGACCAGAGGCTTGGTTTCTGCACCCAGGGGCAAGCGCAGTGGCAGAGAAGCATGCTTGCATTCTTAAATATATAAATGTATATATATATATATCCACAAGGAAAAAAATTAAATAACATATTAAAAACAAACCAAAACAAAACAACCAAACCAAACCAAAGAAACAGAAAAAAAAAGGCTGGCTTGTCGGGGGTGGGGTCGAGAAGGCCCCGGTGTGTGTACTTACATAGAGGTCAGCACCGTAAAATCCGTCCTGGTAAACCACACTGCAGAAAATCCACACAAAAACAAAAACAAAAAAACAAAAGAACAGAAACACATTCCGGTTATTGAGGACGGCAGCATGCACATGCGCTCTACACAGGCAGGTGATGTATGAATACGTGGCCGGGGCCCGGGCCGCAGCGCGTCGGCGAGGGAGGCGTGAGTGCACGCACACAGCACGCGGCGCCAGGGCACGTGAGGCGGGCCGAGGGGGGCAGACTGGGCCGAGCAGCCTGGCCATCTGGCCGTTAAAGGACAAGTGAGGCAGCAGTGAGCACTCCCCGAAGGGCCTGGAATCGGCTGTCCGAGACCTGCCGGGCTGGAAGCATCAGCATCTCGTGTTCCGAGTAGTTTTTCAAGGGGCTTGCTCAGGAGGAAGTTTTTCTTTAAAGAGCTTACAAAGGCGGGTTGTAGGGGCTGGGGTGGAAAGGGGTTTATATGTGAAAAAAAAAGTGAACCCAAGGAACTCCATCAGTATCAATAAGCAAAGTGTGCTTCAAAATGATGTTTAGCATTTTGTCTTCGGTTTCACAGCGATACGTAAATTTTTCCCTGATATCCATACATCACCTGCTTTTTACCCTGCACATTAGACATGCGATAAGATTTGGCTGATCACACAAGCATGCAAAGTATTATTATTCAGCATTTTAAGAACCAATGCAACACCTCAGAAAAACAAGTCAATCAATTCTGACCAAAGTAAACAGAGAAATGTAATTAAAAAAAAAAACACAACCAAAAATACCCACAATGCATTGCTTTCACAAGCAGAGATAATGAGCTAAAGGTTAAGGTGATTGGTCCAAGGTCCAAGAATTGAAAGGTGCAGTGGGGATCCCAGATAGTAACAATATAATCCAGAGTGGGAAGGAGTAACTGGAAGATTTTAAGGGCTCTTTTTTGACCATAAGAGTCATACATGGAATTCTGAAAAATACAATGGATAGCTAAAGTTCTGGGCATGTCAAAGGATTCTCCTGTCTTATTTAAAAGAATAAAACCAAGAAGGTAGCTGGTTAGAAACAAGGGGTTTAATTTCCTGTAATAAATTTGTATCAAGTAAACAATGCATGTCTGCCTCTCTCAATCCTGAGAAATATTATACTATTATTCTTAAAATATGAATTCTCAACCTTGTCAAGTACTTTTGTGCATATGTATAGAATTACCCCAAAAACATTATTTTGGGACCCAAAAGACGTGGAACAGCTGTAGAGATTTGGGTATTTTAAATCAGATGATCCATTTATTGTTTATTCAACTTAACAAGATGGAAATTTTCATCACTAGACCTTCTCCGTTACAATAACAAGCTGGCAAGTAAGGTCATTAAGTCATATTTTTACCTTGAATATGATAACTTGCTTCTTACAGGTAGCCAAGATGTTTCTAATTTCCATTTCCAATGACTTCCGTTGTAGTTACAAGAGGGGAGGGCCACACTTTGCAATGCCCCACACTGCACATCGCCGTGCCTTTGTATTACTCAACAGGCAAGTCAAATCATCAGTGATGTCCATTTAGCTAAGTTTCACTCACTTTCAGAATCTCCAACTGTACTTCAAGTCTGACATTAGAAAGTCATCTCTCAATTGCATTTCAGAAAAAAGAGACTTGTTCACAATGAGGAGGCTGATAAAATGGACAGCACTGAGGCCCAGTAGAGGTTAATTAGTCTTCAGTGATTTCAGTAAAGGGATATAGGCAAAGATTAAAAACCACTCCTTCTATAGGGAAGTGCTGGCATTAAAAACATGACTGTATTTTACCTTAAGCTGAGTCACTTACTGGGAATATTTACTTACATTCTAGAAGAATTCAATATTCCCTGTATCAAATGCCACACGGAATCTAGTACGCAGTGATTAATGATGGAATTAGTTCACTAAGCTGAAAAGCAATTCTAGGCCATTCCCCATAAAAATACTGGACTTATTCCTTGCCATCTTCCACGTAAACAGGTGGTTTAGTTAATAAAAAAGAAAACATGGGAATTAGTGTTCAATGTAATGCATAGAAATCGATGTGGTTAGACATAAAGATAAAACATCTTTGAGCTAACATATACCTGACACAGACTTGGTAGAGAAAGGGCTCTCAAGTTGGGCCACACACTGAAATGACCTACACTGAACAGGAGTGAATCCAGCCACTTTGTCAAGTAACTCAGGAAGGTCACACAACAGGGAAGTCCCATGTTTTGGTGAGCAGTTTCTCCTGCAAACATGGCAGTAAACGCTCTGGAATTACATGGAAGACACTTCATGACCAATTTTCCTAGTGTTTAGAGCTTCCCAAAGGTTCACTTTCATGCTTCCCTTGAGTATTTGTTGATGAAACAATACATCTTTATTCCCTTCTTTAAAAAGAGATGTCAGAGGTTGAAGGTCAAAGGTCAGGTTGAGAGAAAAAAGGATAAAATTAAAAGTAAGTGATGGCAGAAGATGGAGATGATGGAATGCATGGGATTGAAACATCTATAAACTGCAAACAAAAGCTAATTTCTGAAGCAGTCCCCTTCCAGTTTTTCTTGGAGCCTGCCCACTTCAACATGCATACTTGCCTTGTCTAATAAAAATGCTTTAATTCTGTGGAATGGAGGGCTCCTAAGGGTATGTCCATTTGGTCTATGAATGAGTGAAAGTTAGGTTAGTGCACCTCAAGGGTAGCCAATTTTGCTGACAGAGAAGGACATACAGAGGAGGCTCGCTCCCTTTGTATTTTAACTAAGTGGCAGCTAATAGGCTTCTCTGCTGCTGTGGATTCCTCGGGTAGAGTACAGAAAAAAACCTGTCACAGGCAGAGAAAAGATGAAGAGGAGAAATGTCACATCTCTGTAGAGAGAAAGTCCTTGGTACAACTGACTTGTAAAAGTCCACTCTTTATAAAATATAATATACACTGCAGGCTGCTAACACTGGGACACAACTCATCACGAAGTCTGCCGCCCTCACTCCTCCTCCCCATTTGGTACGAGGATTTATTTGTTGCTATGGAATCATTCCACTGCATGAGACACCTTCCGCACCAAAGTCAGCGGGGAAGGGTGCTCAGCTCCGGCAGTTATCACCAGCATTCAGAAGCCAACTGCAGTTTAATTCTTCCTATGTCTCCCTGTCTCCCTTGAGTCAATTGGACTTGGTTCATCTTTGAATTAACCTCTTGTAATCCATTTCCTACAAAGAAAGCAAATCCATTGTGGGTAGCTAGCTCTGCTGCTCACCACCCGGGCAGTGAACCTAAGGGGAGGGCGCCCGTGACAGCCTCAGCCCCAGCGCAAGGTGGTGAGGCGGGTGAGCACAGCAGATGCACTCTCGCACTACAATCCCAAGCTCCTTTTTTGGTTCTCTAAAGTCGTGTTAATCCACATTCGTGCGCTGCTGCGTGAACTCATGCCAACACACCGCTAGGAAACACAAGACGCTCTGGCCACTGTCTTAAGCCACTTCCATGAGGGCTTAAGGTGGCCAAAATGAGGTTTTGTAAATTGACATCTTGTTACATTCTGATGATGACATATTTTGGTTCTTGCCATCTAAATCCGCTAATTTGTTAAAAAAAAAAAAAAAAAAGTATTCTTTGAATGATCTCTGATGTGGCACGGCAACATCCCAGAAGTTATGAGAGGGCCACGGTATGCTCAACCGCTTATGTTAGAAACATACTGATTTTGGAATCAAACGCTTACCCTGGGTAGGCGGGGATGGCTGTTGGAGGTACCGCTCGGACTGCACCGTACACCGTCCGCCCTCTGCCCCTCAGATGGGCTCCTCTGAAAGCGGCCGCCGTGGTGGCTGCAGTTGGGTAGGGAAAGCCAGGAACTAAAGGGAGACCCAAAATATGACAGAAATTTCAACTTGCATTCAATAGTAGGTACGCTGTGGCAACCCGCAATGTGCAATTACAGAAAAGATAGAAAAGACCTGTATCACGCATTTCCTGAAGAGGTGGCTGCACCCCTACTCCATGCGCCCCCTAACCTGGGCCACGGAGCGAGAAAGAAACGGAAAGAGACCCAACACGACAAGTAAGTGATCCCAGGCCTCCATCATTACAGATGGCAGTCTCTGCTCCTTCCCAGCTCTAGCACCAGCAGCTGGTGTGAAGCGGGGCCAGAGGCTCTGAGAGCCAGTCGTAGTGAGAGACACGATTTTCACCTTCCACAGACAGTTTGAATCAGGATGACGTCAGCTCTTTAACGGCCCAATTACTAGTCTTGTTTCCAAATATTATTGTGTGCATATAGTAATTATTCCTCAAAAGAGTAATCTGCTGGAGGCCGGTGTGTGGCACAGTGGGTAAAGCCACTGCCTGCAATGCCTGCATCCCGAATGGGTGCTGGCTGAGTCCCAGCTGCTCCGCTCTAATCCAGCTCCCTGCTGATGTGCCTGGGAGAGCAGCGGAAGATGGCCCAAGTGCATGGGCCTCTGTCACCATCCTGGGAGACCCAGAAGGAGCTCCTGGCCTCGGCCTGCCCGTCCCTGGCCATTGCAGCTATCTGGGGAGAGAACCAGCAGGTGAAGATCTCTCTTTCTCTCTAACTCTGATTTTCAAATAGGTAAGTCAATCTTTAAAAATAAAATAATGGCCAGCGCCGCGGCTCACTAGGCTAATCCTCTGCCTGTGGCGCCAGCACCCCAGATTCTAGTCTCAGTCGGGGCAGTGGATTCTGTGCCAGTTGCTCCTCTTCCAGGCCAGCTCTCTGCTGTGGCCTGGGAGGGCAGTGGAGGATGGCCCAAGTGCCTGGGCCCTGCACCCCATGGAAGACCAGGAGGAAGCACCTGGCTCTTGGCTTTGGATCGGCGCAGCAGCCAGCTGTAGCGGCCATTTGGGAGGTGAACCAACGGAAAGGAAGACCTTTCTCTCTGTCTCTCTCTCACTGTCTAACTCTGCCTGTCAAAAAAAAAAAATAATAATAACCTTTTGGAATTTTCATAGGATGCCAACTTCCAAGACACATGTTATCTTTAGCTATTTCCTATGTGTCAATCTCACTCCTTTACTTGAAAAGTTTTAAGCCAGAAATGTCCATTTGGAGGGAAACTGCTCCTGCCTGCTGCTTCAGCCCTTGGAAGAGGCCCACGGTTTCCAGACGCCAGCCTTGGGGAAGCAGGCCAATGTTGCTTCCAGGTTTGCTGGATCCTGGCTAATGATACCTCGGAGTAAAATGGCTCAGGTCAAGGTGACTTCAGAGACATCAGGAGAGCGGAGGATCATCAGAAACAGCGACCCTGAGGCGTGTGAGTGCGCGAGGCTGACAGGCGGAGGGCCTGCATCACACGCTTGGCACCCGCTCCTCCTGCTGCTTCCTTCATCACCAGTGCACATGGAAACACTCTCCATGCCCCCCACCCCCGACTGCACAACTGTTTTTGTGTCATGGCTGGGAAGATTCTAGCACAGGAAAGCGCGAGAGGGCATCGTGACAGTGTTTAGTCTCCTTCCCAAGAATGTGTCCTTGGGAGCCAATGCTGTGGGTGAAGGCTCCGCCTGCAGTGCCGGCATCCCATATGGGCACTGGTTCATGTCCTGGATGCTCCTCTTCAGATCCAGCTCTCTGCTGTGGCCTGGGAAAGCAGCGGAAGATGGCCCACATGCCTGGACCCCTGCACCCACGTGGGAGACCTGGAAGAAGCTCCTGGCTTCGGATTGGCTCAGCTCTGGCCATTGTGACCATTTGAGGAGTGAACCAGTGGATGGAAGACCTCTCTGCCTCTCCCCCTCTCTCTGTAACTCTGCCTCTCAAATAAATAAATAAATAAAATCTTAAAAAAAGAAAAAAAGAAGAATGTGTCCTTGCTGTTTCCATACTGTACCAGCATATCACTCACTGTTCACGCACAAACCCATGCCAGGCCAACATAGGGTACTTACTGATTAGAGGAATGTAAGTGTTGATGCCCCCTCGTCCTGAGAGGGGCACTGCTGCTTCGTTGCCTAGGGACACATCTGCTTGGAAGCTTGATGCTGATTGCAACAAAAAATTAAAAATGCAAAACGGTTATAAGGAAAAAGCAGCAGACGCTGTTAAACTGTACAAGTGCAGACATTAATGTCAATACTACCTGCATACAACTCGGGGCCGTAGACAGCGCCGACCACTGGGCTTAGTTTCCAACCTGAAACGCAAGAGACCACAGTGAGCCTTTTGTGACATGAGCGACCCCCACACGCCGAGCCGCTTCGGGTGATCAGGGCCCATTTCTGCTGTGACCCAGCTGGCTGCAGATAGCAGCTGAAGTTCAGGGGAGAGGGTGAGGGCACTGCAGGACCAGCACAGAGGCTGGGTCATGGGGCGGGGCTGGGGTGGTGAACCAGGGAGGGATGAGAGGAAGACACAGAAACACAGAGAAACGCTGGCGTTTGGTCTAGCGCCCTCACAGAACGAACCCTGTGGGCTTCTCAGTTTAGGCAAGGCACTCTGCTTTCCTACGTCCTCTAACACTCCGGCTGTCTGAAGAAGGCACCCTGTGACTGACTGCAAATTTGCCCTGCATCTTGGACTCTGTTTGTTTAGACTGTGCTGGCATTGTGGGTAGAGGGAAGCCCCCACTGACTGGGATTTACCACCAGGGTTTCACCAGGTGAAAAAGGAGAGACACAAAATTCAAGGTGCATTCCCCACGTCCGACACCTCCTGAAGCTCTGACTCGCAGGGGACACGCTGACGTTAACCACACTGTGAGAACGATGCTGCAGACCATTACCAAACGGAACTTAAATATTTCCGTTTTCCCAAACGTAGTTGATGCCATCTGTATTTTGTCTGTGTTTTTTTTTTTTTTACATTTAAAGGAATACAGAGAAAAAAAAAAAGAAGGAAAAAACATACAGCTCACTGGTAGTAAATGTGTAGAATTCCAGATGAACATTCTCATCAATAAATATTTATTGAATTTTATGTCTCATAAGCAAACACACACTATTATTATTTTCCTGTAAGACTGGCTTTTTGTTGAGCTTTAGGTATTATCTTAAGCCCCTCACACAGTGCCACTTCTGCTCTATACATATTTGAATGGCAAAAAGAAAAGGCCAATTCTACTGAAATTATTGGATTTAAATGGCCACAAGCAAAGACATTACTCAAGAGAAAACATATTCGATCTGAATCAACTCAGTCTCTCACTCATGCTATCAGGACGGCGGTCTCTTCACTGTTCAGTGTAAGATTCTGGCAAAACTGGAGTTCAAGTTCTGGAATTCTAAGAGTGTGGATGTTCTGCACTGCTTCTACACAGGTTAAGTGACTCCAGCCAACATAAATGAAAACGCTGAGAATTCACCAGAAGCCGCCTTGCCCGCTGCTCTTGGGGCCCTGCTGGACACAACAGTGCCGGCTTCTTCAATATTAGGTGTGGGTACACATGTTGCGCAGCTGTTAAATCTCAGCTACTCTGCTTCTGATACTAGGCTCAAATATTGGTTCAGAATAATAGTTTCAAAATAATATTTTTCTTTTATACAAATGGTATTATTTCCTAAGCAGCTCCATATAATGGATGCACATTCATAGTTATTAACAGGGCATTTTTAGTTTCATGTAATCCTCAATGCATTTCCACTGGTGTCATCTGACCTTCAAAAAAACCCAGAGAGGGAGACAAGACAGGTACCACGTCTGTGAGCTCGGGGAAAGGCTATACTTTCCAAGCCATATTTCCCAAATAACCAGTCTAAAGGGCTGCATTCTGATGATTTCTAAAGAGCTTCCTGGTGCTGAAACGCTGTTGTGGCCGTTACAGATGTGAAAACAGACCTAGACAGATGAAGAAATGCATCCACCGATACGAAACAAAATGAAGATTCAATCTAGAATCAGAATTCCTGCCTTCCGAATTCCGGCTCTTCCTGTCATACAGTTTTCCCTAAACCTAAAGGAGATCTGGCGTACTGTGCCTCTCCTTGCTCCTCTGTTAAGTGGGTTTTTATCAAGATTGTACAAGTGTGTTTCTGTGACAGCAGTGAAATCGAGAAAACAAGAGGTGAAGTGGGAGGTGGTGTATCACATGACTACATCACAGGCCAGGCAGGGGGGATGCACTTTATGCCGATAAATTTGCATCAGCTGTGTGAAAAGCTGGGCTGGAGATAAGAACTCCATTGGGGTGTGCCCAGTCCTGCTATATTTCTATTTGAGTTAAGCTATTAGTAGCACATATCAGCACCAACACAGTGTCCCAGAGGGTTCAGATTTTTTGGGCCAAGGCAGAGGCGCAGACCTTCAGCTGGGTCCTTACCCACCCAGGTTCCTCTTCCCCACGTTGGCTTCATACAGCACCATTTGCAAAACCTGCTGTGCTACACAGGAAAATGACCCATCTCATTTAGGAAACAGGAGTTTATATTAAATTTGATGACTGATATAAAAGCTCTCTTTTTATTAGGACAAATTATTCATAAAAATTTTCCTTCTCAAGGATAAACATTTGTAAAACTTACATGAAATAGAAATACACACACACACACACAACATCCCGTGGCAGCTATCTCCGGGCCTTGTAAGATGAGCAAGGTGGGGGGGCCCAGTGCTGTGGTGTAGCAGGTGAAGCCACCCTCTGTGATGCTGGTGTCCCATATGGGTTCAAGTTCCAGGCTTAGCTAATGTACCTGGGAAAGCAGTGGAAGATGGTCCAAGTCCCTGGGCCTCTGCATCCATGTGGGAGACTCAGATGGAGCTTCTGGCTTTGGCCTGGCCCAGCCCCAGCCATTGTGGCCATTTGGGAAGTGAACCAGTGGATGCAGGGTTCCTCTCTCTCTCTGTCTCTCCCTCTAACTCTGCCTTTCAAATAAAGCAATTTTTTTTTTAAAGAGAAGAGGAAGGGATTCAGAGTTATAAATACTATTTATCCTTTGAAATTACTCCACTCATGACCAGATGAAGAGGAATCAGTAGCGCAAGTGAGAGCTGGTGGCATCCAGGGTATCATGGACAAGCCTAACTCAGCACAAAGAATGACAGCACTTGAAAGGAGGGTGTTCAATGGGGCTAGTGCTGTGCCACAGTGGGATGCTGGCATCCCATGTCAGAGTGCCAGTGCAAGTCCTGGCTGCTCTGCTTCCGACCCAGCTCCCTGATAATCCGCCTGCATAGGCAGGGGATGACGGCCCGAGTGCTCAGGCTCCTGCCATCCCTGTGGGAGAGCCAGATGGAATTCCTGGCTCCTGTCTTCAGCCTGGCCCACCCCTGCTTATTGCAGCCATCTGGGGAGTGAACCAGTAGATGGAAGACCTCTGTCTTTAATATGCTGCTTTTCAAATAAATAAATACATCCTAAAAACAAAAAAGAGGGTGTTCTAATTAGGGCCTAATTTAAGTTAACGTGCAACCTCAAATGGCACAGTCAAACCTGAAGATGAATTTCACAGGCAGCACCTTAATTACTCAAAACTTTAGCTCTACTCTGATGGAAAAGTGAATCTGTAAAGATAATTACTCTGCTTGGTAAACAGCCTACTTCACTGTAAGCTAAACAAGCTGTCTCGCAGCTGAAAGAGATTCTTAGCAGCTCAGATGTTCACAGGCGAACGGAAAAGCTCTCCTTAGGAGGACGATCTGCAGTCTTACCGTTTGCATATGGTGTGACCATCTTCTTGTTGGTCATTACGCGTGCTGTAGCATTATTCACCTGCAGGCAGCAAGTAGGAAGAAGGGGCAGGCAAGCAGAAGACGACGTTAGGGAATGTGGAGTTGCTCATCCAACAACACAGTACTTAGTTTAAATCATAAACTTCTGAGAGCATTGATTTAAATAATTAATATGATAATATACAATATTAATACATAGTACTTTAATTAAAGTGCTCATTAAATGAGGCTAACAAGAGTAAAATGCAGTTTCTTGGTCTCCAGATGGAAGACTATCACTAACCTCCCAGTGCTCCACAGAAAAACATGTGCACATTCTTGGGAGATGTCTTAAATTGAAAAGCGTCTGCATTAAGGAACACATGGGAAAAAATGGTAAACAACTGTACAGGAAAATGAACTTGGAAGTTCATTAATAAACAGAGGCTTGCCACAGTATCGTAAAGTAGGCCGGCAGGAAAATGACAGGTCTGATGGGTTCACCTGTCTTCATGCTCAGCATTTTTGACGCCTGAGATTTTACTGTCTGGGGTCAGCAAACAGATGCAGAAACCCAGACTCATGCCGGCAGTCTTCAGGCCCATCCTGAACTTTCCAGACTACATGATCTAGAAAGAATAAAATTTTCAGAGGGCCTTTCAAATAGGCACTTACAGGAAGGAGAAAATAAGGTGCCTGTTTATTTCATGCTCTGGCAGCCTCCACCCTTGTTCCAGGACTGCTTAAGTGAAGCACGCTCAGGACTAAGCTGGCGCTGCTGAGGAGAGGAGGGGGGAATGGCCCTCGCAGTAGGGCAGCAGAGCGCTAGGAGGGGCAAAGCCTCACCACAGAGCGTGATCATAAAGCACACCGAGTGTGAGGGAACCACAACAATATTTTGCCTCTTGGAATTTTCATGGTGGTAAATTTGCATAGTGATAGGGAAAGACCAACTTCAGGCAGAAGTGGAACTGGAAAATCTCTGAGTGTGCCTTTTAAGATTAGCACAGTCCTCCTGCTTGGTGAGGACAGCGCTTGAAACTCCATTTACTCTAGTTTGACCCGCAAATGAAACAAACATTTCACATTTAGAAAGAAAGAATGGGATACAACAATGATGAGACTGAGAGCATGCGGTTAAAACACTCACACACACAAATAAAAGGAAGAAGAAAACAGAATCAATTTTGGAAAGAAGGGAGAAGTGAAGAGCGAGGGTGTCACAGACGAGGACCAGAATGGAGCGAGAGCTTGTAGCAGCTGCTAGAGCAGAAAGCAACCAAGCACTTAAGGGGGAAATGGCCAGAACCGAATCAGAAACCACCAGTCAGCGAAGGAGACCCAGGGCTGCGTGTGACAGGGAGGGTGGGGAAGGAGGGGCACGGAGAGGGGCAGGGCATGGATCTGGGTAAAGACTCCGAAGGTAGGGAGGGAGAAGAGAAGGGGAGCAGGTCGCGAGTCACGGGCAAGAAGGAGCCCCCAAGCGCAAAGGAAGAACAGTCAGGGCTACAAACAGAGGCGGGAGGGCAGGGGAGGGCAGGGAGTGCATTAATAAAACCAGCCAAACTGGAGTTCAGTAACTCTGAGTAAGATGTGCAAGGGGGCAAATCACCATGGAGTCAGTAATCAGACAGCTCAGACTGCTACAAAACAATATGTACATCCAAAGTCCAGGCGGCATTATCAACAGCATTGGAAATAAAAGGGGGAGGAAAAGGAAGAGGAACAAGTCAAATCACATTCTGTAGTGTTAATGTGAGATGGCAGATGGACTTTTTCTTTCTTAATTGTTTTGTAATTACATTTTTAAAAGCTTCTTCTCTAGTGCTTCGGTTTCACTTACCGCCAACGGGCACCAGCGCCAGCGCTGTGTATAGTTACCATGGAAAGAGGGAGTCAAGTGAAGGGCCCTAAATCTACACCATTGGAAAGGGGGGAGAAAGCAAAATATGCAGACATCTTACTCAAAACAGTGGCTTTCATATTTAATACTTTTAAAAATTGGGAAAGGGGAAAGGAGCCAGTTAACCTTCACTGCGTTACCAAGAAGGGCTGGTGAGCCCAGGGGCTGCTGGAACGTAGTCACGGCGCTTTGGCCAGCCAGGCAGCAGCCCTCTGCCCGAGGACTTCCTTTATGGGCTGCAGAACCCACTGCTGGAGCCCTGGTTTCCAGATGACACTGGAAAGCAACTGAGTTCTCGATTCTTTCCTCCCCCCACAATCTTGATCATCTCCATTCTGCGCCTGTCACACGCACATGGAGGCGAACTGGTCTCCGGAGAGGAACAGGGGATGGGCTGGTCCCTGGACTCATTACGGAGCCCAGTGTTACCAATTGGATAGGTTTTCAGACATTGTAAAAGTTAGTTTTCTTTAGGCCTGACCACAGGAATTCAGTCTTGCAAACTGATGCAAAGGAAAAAAATCAAGAGAGCAGAAGGATGAACATTTTGGTGGAGGAAAAAAAGTAAGTGAAGAACAAATACACGTGCGCGTGCGCGCGCACACACACACACAGAAATTAAAGCCCCACACGACCAGAGGGCAGGGGAAGGCGGACAGCAGTGCTACTTTGATACATTTTAATGCAAGAAGGTGAAGAGCACAGAAACACACGCACACAGAGACAGGGCTCCAGATGGGAAGTAAGTGAAGCAATACAAAAACAAAGAAATAAAATATAAACCAGAAATTGAATTATTGAAGACATGCACCTCGATTTTACGGCCCTCTACCACGGTGCCGTGCAATTTCTCCCTGGCCCTGTCTGCATCAGCACTATTCTCGAAAGTTACGAACCCGAATCCCTGCATGCAGCGGGAGAAGGGGGAGAACATGCACATCGTTACATTGAATACTGATCGCTGGTAAACAGAGAAAAAATACCACAGTAGGAAACTGACGTCAGCAGCAACTCAGCAATACTCTCCCAAAGTCACATTTGGTTCATGCATATTTCATAAAGGGAAATTAAACCCAATAAAAGAATAAGGAGCTGTAATAATAACAACAGTTTAATTAAGAACAATAATAACAATACCAAAATAAAATACAGAGCATGTGAGGCCAGACCAAAATTAAGGTATAGAGTTTCTCGGGTCAAACTATTCAACCAAGAATTGGCACCTTTTTTTTTTTTTGTTGTTGTTGTTGTTGTTAATGTGCTGCCTTTCTTTCTTAATTCATGCTGCTAATGTACATGTCCCTATGTAATATAAAAAACGTAATTAGATGGATTCCCTGACATCTAAAATCTATTATTCCCCAGTGACTGCTACATGAGCTCTGACATTCAGGTTCGATCACTGCATAATGAGGTTTGTTAGAAGTCGGGATCTCTTCAGCCCACTTGGCCTGTCGCTCCTGTCACCACTCACTGCTCTGTGCACAGTAGCCTTGACATACGATTCTGTAGGTGCTGGGTGCAGAAGGGAAGAGCACTCGTGTCCTTCCCAGCAAATGAAAAAGCACTAAAGCAGTCTGTCAGTTATGACTTTTCTTCAGTGCCATCTTACTTAGAGTAAAAATCAGTCCAGTGGAGCTTCAGAAAATCGTAACCCGAACCTGCGTAAGTGACACATCTGATGTCTACGTTTACTGTTAAACGTATTAGTGATTTCCACATATAGAGAAGAAAAGGAACAGTCAACAGGCAATGGGAATAAGGTAACTACATTGAGTTAGAATCAATTTATTTGTCCCTGGTAGGTGCTACAAATCTAAGAGTGCAGGTTTACTTTATTAAGCAGGGAGATCAGGAGACAACTTCCCTCGACACTCCCTCTGGTCACACCCACTGACTTCACAGTCAGCAGGGGTTATTTTATATTCCCATGACTATTTCATAAAGCATCTAATCAGCTTTATTCCAGGTGTTTTGTCTTTTTTTTCCCACTCTGCAACTATAATTTTGCAAATAATTTCTCCAGTTACTTATATCTAAGGAGTGGTGGCCTTGTCCCTCTCACTCTGTTGGAACATTCCACTGTAGAACTAACCCTGGACCCTTGATTTTTACTGAAGCCTTGCTGCTTAAAACCATGAGCATTTCTGTATACACACAACAGAGATAAACAGTGTGCACTGTTCAATGAAAACATCACACGAGACAAATCCATCATTTTGAAGGATCAGATTACTCCGCATTCTAAATGATTTTATGGCTCAGTGGTGTTTGGAGGATTTCAAGGGATTGTTTCAGCCCACAACTGCGATATCACCACAAATACAATAGAAAGCACAATGCTCAGCTGATAACCATTTTAAAATGTGTGTGTCGTCTGTAATGAAATACTATGGCTAATTTTAGTTAATACTCTCTTAAGGAACGTATGAATTTGCTAAGATTACCCATGGAAATATGTTTTTCAGAAACAATTTGGGATATTAACATGTTACAGCCTCTCTGACACCTCAAGCTGTCACCCACAGCAGCATCTGCCCGAGAAGCCAGCTTCCAGGTCCCCACACGTTTTCTGACGGGAAAACTAAGCCTGGCAAGAAAGGTCACAGACAGTGATGAGTTTTTATATCACACTTTTAGAAGCATTATAAACTGTACTCACACAGTCTACGACGGCTTAAATTAATAAATTATGACTTAATAGCTGGGTTACTATTAATTAATGTGGAGATTAATTACCTAGGTTTTGAGTTTAGCACTGTAACTATTGGTATCTGCCCACCCACATGCACACCGTACATACTTGTTTGACTTCTTATATAGAACCGTGGGGCAAGACAGGATGTATCTATTGGCTTCATTTGGAAGGAACCAAGTCACATTGAGGTTAAACAGCCAAGGATTTATAGCTAACAGTGAGAAAATCAGAGACTGAGCTTCACAAATCTCAGTTCAGACTCCAGGAAACTGTTTGGTCCTAAAATCTTCCGACTGTCTTTTTCAAATCTATTTGCTCAATGTCTGCTACTATTTCCCTTCCTTGACAGTAGATCCAAAAGAAGGGCCGGTGCTAACATGAGCACTGCAATTTTATGGCCCACAAATGACAAAGTTTAATATTAAAGTCTGCTTGTATAAAATTCCCTTAATAATGATTTTATTCTGGAACAAAGTTGCATTTTCAAGTATTTTTATAAAGAAAGATGTTTGTGTCAAAGAAAATGCTAATTAAGATACCAAAGACATAATAATCTTTAAACACATCTTTTGCTGGGGAGAGAGGATAAAGAAGGCCTTGTTGGTGCTTTGGGCCCAACAGGAAACAGAGGCAAGAGGATTTCTTTGTGTTCTTTAAGATAAACAAATCTCAGATAGGCAGAACCATGCCCCCTGGAAGTGGCCATGTCCTAATCCCCAGAACCAATGGGTATGTTCCCTTAATGGCCAAGGGACCTTGCAGACACGATTCAATCAATTAAGTGATTAAGTTTCCCATCTTGAGCTGGGAGATTATCCCAAGGGGGCTTGTGAAGGCAAAGGTGGCTCATATCGCGGCCACCTGAGAAGGACCTGCCTGGCCACTGCTGGCTTTGAAGAATGAAAGGGGCTGTGGTCCACAGCACACGGAGGCCTGTGGGATCTGGGAAAGGCAAGGCGCCTGGTCACGCCTCGCAGCCTCAGGAAGGAATCCGTTCTCTGATGTCACCCCAGTGAGACCACCTCACCTCCAGAACTGCAGGGTGACAGCTGGGTGATGTAAGGCACCCGTCTCCCAGCGATGTGTGCAGAAGCAAGAGCACGGTCACACACAGCTGCAGGGTGGAAGTGCAGGTTAGGGAGGGAGAGGTTAAGCCCACTCTCAGAGTACTGCTCCGAGGAGCTCTTCTCCAGTGAGGCGACTCCTCTCCTCATCAACCCAAACTCCACGTTTCCTCCTCCACCACATGCATGCTTCACCTTCAGTCATACCAACTTTGTCAAAGCTACATTTTTTAATGTACTATTTCCTTAGTAAAATTTAGCATTTTTAGAAATGGTGCTGGGAACTGTGCTAAGGATAGTCATAGATTATTCAGGATTAAAAGTTACTGGTAGGTCACTTTTTTTTCCAGCTTTCATGAAATCAGGTTTAAGTCCCTTCATTCTTAGAAATATAGTTGACATTAAATTTGGTCATTCTGATCTCTTACTTTTGAAAAAAAATGTATAAATCCACTTAATAAAAGTATGTATAAATCTAACTTATTTTTATTAAACAGCTTCAACTGATCATAAAACATATCAAACACTGATTCATAACAACCAGTCTGCACTGGTATGATACATAAAAAGTAGACTATAGAATCTGTAACAATTTTTAAATCTGAAACTCTGAACAAGGGGCAGTATTTCAGGCATATAAGGAGATAGAATTTGTTATCTAAAATTTCATTAATAAAAACAGGTAAGAATAATTTAAAAATGATATTCACATATTTGCCCACATTAGCATGATCTAACAGAAATATAACATAACCACATATATAATTTTAATTTTTCTAAGTCACATTAAAAAAGCAGAAATAAATAGGTTAGATTAATTCTAACAACAGATTTCATTTAACCCATTTCAACATGGCATCAATATAAAAACATTATCAGTGAGATGTTAACATTCTTCTTTTGTCCCAAATCTTTGCAATCTGCACTTATGCTTGTAGCACATCTCAGCTCAGGCTCTCCATGCTTCCGAGGGTACTTAACACAGTCTATACCCGGTAAGGTTCTCGGTCCCCAAACTTCTTCTACGCCCACCATGTAAATGTTACATTAGTCATTGGCTATCTCAGCTGTTTCCTGCACACTGGAGAATGGTTTGTTAGGGGTATGAATGTGGCTAAAACTTGTACCAAGTGGGACAGCCATCTCATCACCTGCCCTTGATAGTCATTTATCAACAAGGACATAAAGGAGCCGAGTAACTGTCACCTTTTTAGTCTGGCCTCAGACTGCAATAAATAACAAGCAATAGGATGAGCATTGTAAACGTGTTTACATCTGTATAACCTTTGAGTTTTTCCATCTCAGAAGAATGAGAAAGAAAATTTACCATGTAACTTTTAAGGGAGAAATCAAAAGCAGACGAATCTCCTGGGTATGGCCAGAACACAGAAATTAAAAAATAAATAAAAGAAAAAGAAAAAACTAAAAACCACAAAATGGTAACAAAAGAAAAATAAACTAAACCTTCTGGAAATACATGCATTGTTCATTTAGTTTCAAATATAATAAAAAACATTTCACCTCAGCATTACCTACCAAACTCTGCCAAAAATCTCCAAGGCCCTACTTAGAGGGACTTTAAAGAAAGTATTTTGAAAGAAATCATTTCCCTTTGTGTGAAATCAAAAGCCACATAATAGGCAAGAAGTTACAGCACACTGTGTCTGAGGAATGGGAACGGTGGGTCTATCTTAACCTGAAGCTGATCCTAAACCCAGATGCCCATCGATCCAGAATCCACCTGAGGAGGCACGAGGACACCCGTGCTGAACACGTGCCGGACGCGGGCGGAAGTGCCGTGCTCCACGAGGGGTTCTGCAGCGGACGTGGAAGCTGGCACGCTAGGGGAGGTCACGGTCCCAACAGCACCGAGACAAAACTTCATGGAAAATATAAACGTTGGACTCTATGGATTTCTTTAACAAGCTTGATAATTCTCACGAAAAACTGTCACGTGGCCAGCTGACAGCAAACAGCACAGTGGAAAGTCTCAAGTCCAACAATGGAACAAACTTCTGAAAAGCAGCAAGTTTGTAGTCACTAAAAGCTACAGCAGGGAATACGAGCAGGGTCACGCCAACTGTGGCTGAACGAAGTGCCCACTGTCAGAGTTGTGTTTAAAATTCCAGCTGAGAAGAAAGGCTGGGAGGAAATGCATCCGGACTCCAGAGTGAATATCCTCTTCAATGGGCTCCCTCTGCCTTTTCCCTTTCTAGCCTTCATTAAGCGCCATGTTTTGCTCCACCTGAGATCCTCGGGGGGCGAGAGTGCATGTTATTCATAACCATGCTGAGGTAGTAGTTCATACCAGCTCCATCCTGGCTGATCCAGGACACGTGGCCACTCCACCTGGGTATTCTCGTATTGTCTATGTTAAACTCTGTCACTACAGTGAAAGCTGGAGAATCCATAAAGCTATACACATTCAAATAATCGTTTCCTCAATTCCATCTGAGTAAATGAATTTCTTGGTGGCGCATTTCCCATAATATATTCTAACTGCGCATTTTCAAAAGGTCAGTCTTATGTTTTTACAAAGTAGGGATTAAGAAGTAGTGAAACAAAAAACTCGCAAGGGGGCCGGCACTGTGGTGCAGTGGGTTAACACCCTGGCCTGAAGGGCTGGCATCCCATATGGGCGCTGGTTCAAAACCCGGCTGCTCCACTTTCAATCCAGCTCTCTGCTGTGGCCTGGGAAAGCAGTAGAAGATGGTCCAAGTCTTTGGGCCCCTGCATCTGTGTGGGAGACCCAGAAGCTCCTGGCTTCAGATTGGCGCAGCTCCAGCCATTGTGGCCAACTGGGGAGTAACCATCGCCTGGAAGACACCTCTCTCTCTCTCTCTCTCTCTTTCTCTGTCTCTCTCTCTCCTCTCTGTGTAACTCTGACTTTCAAATAAATAAATAAATCTTAAAAAAAAAAACTCGCATGAAATCACTTAAAAATGCATGTCCGTGTGTGTGTGTTGATGATATGACAAATGCGGAGACAAACCCAGAAGATGAAGTTCGAGAAGAGAAGCGGGGAAGGGTCACCGATACAGAAGTGCTTCCTGCAGCACAGCAATTCTGCTTGCCAAGCAGGATGGCAGCAGCAGGACAGGGGCAGGCGCGCAGTCAGGGCTGCCTGGAGCCCAGGCTGCTCAGGGTCTCAGGCGGCACAGTCAGAACCCTGGGCCAACAGTCTCCTGGCACAATCCGAGACAGGGTAAAAAGCTACTTTTGGTTTGGCAGCAATTTGATTAAGCCCTATTTTATAGGTAAGTTGTATATATCTCGGAATTGTTTGCTGACTAGGTTTTCCATTACTGCTTTAAAAAATTCAATAAAGCTAATTCCTGTACAGAAAAGCACTCAGTTTAGCAGTCAGAGCGATGCTGAACTACAAGATCACATGAAGTGTCCTTTCTCTGTTCTTTTCAGGACATGTAGTGGTTTAATGTCAACCCCAAACATAAAAAAGAGAACCTAAATTTAATTCACAAAAAGAAAAGTGCTCATTACTTTATCTGAGATGGATTCCAAGGGAGGCATCTATAGGTCTGGCTCCAAAATACATCTCCATCAGCAGCCCACAAACAATGCTAGGGGAAACTGAACCTTTGGCTGGGAAGAACTTAGCAGCTGAGACGGGCAAAGGATGAAGACAAAGTTTCGAACTGGCCCTTGAAGGCAGACGCAGGCCAGTTCCAGATCCTGTGCTTTGTCCCGAGAGCTCCTGCCAGTGAGCACACAATCCGCGTCCCCTTCAGGGGCCCAAGGGAAAAGGGCAGTGAGGATGCAGCATCGAGCTGAGAGAGGCGGCATGTGGGAAAAGGAAGGCACGGAAAGTGGAAATCACATGGGCGATGTAACTGGATCAGGCAAATTTAAAACATTTTAGTAGTGGGAAAATCCTTGAAGTCAATGAAAGAAGCCTTAAGAAAGATCAATTTCCTTTGCTTCGTAATAATTCAATCAAATCGTTTGCCGGGCGAGGGGCAAGTCCTCAAGCCTGAAGAACGGTAGTGGGCTTCTGGCTGGCAGAGCCTCGGGAAGAGTGCTCTGAGTGAACATGTTCAACCTCAAAAATATTTACACTGCTCCTTCAGACACCAGTGTGCTCAGTACGCTTCATTCATTTATTTAACATTCATGTGCTTCCCACCTCTAAACCACTGTCATCTTCCCACCCTGTAGCTAAAAAGATCACAAAAAATAAATGCAAACTGGACAACGAAAGCACAGAAAACCGCTGTGAGAAAAACACAAGCACAGTTTCACTGGTTGCAGTTAACAGATTCCACTTGAAAAATACTTACCAAGTTCAGTGCTGGAGAAAGTTCTGTATAGGCATATTAATCTTTTTTGCTTTAACTGAAACTGAAAGCTCAGAGTATAATTTAAGAATTATACTCTTAAATAATTAACAAATTGTTACAGTCAGCCTTAAACACTTTTAGTGTTGACATATTCTATAGAGGAAGGGGACCATCATTAGGAGAATTACAACAATGAATATATATGTCCCTAGCAGGACAGATGGGTGGATGGGGGTGTATGCTAATGTATGTATATGTTGCATGAATTTAGTGTATGTTAATGTATGCATATGTTATACGAATTTGGAGTAGGAAATTGAAGAGAGGTAAATATTACCCCATTTGTTGGCTTTATTTAGCATCTCCCAAATTATATTCTTAGGACATTTAAACATAACCAACCACTATTTTCAAGTCCAACAGACAGCTAAATTAAAACTTAAAAATTGGTATAAACAGGGAAAAGAATTTTTAGTGAACATTTCAGCTCTTATATAACACAATCAGAAAAGAATATAAGCTAATTGCACAGTTTTACTACTTTCAGTCTTAGGTAAAAAGTCAATATATTAATAACTAACACTGCATGCTGAAATTGGACTCTCTGGGTATAACTTAGTGGAGGAAATCAGAATTTGCAAGTCACTAGGCTTTGACAAAATGTATTCGAAACAGCCAGCGGTGTGCATTTGACACGATGGTTCAGACATCCCCCTGAGACAGCCGCAACCCGCATCCAAGTGCATGGATCTGCATCCTGCTCTGCTCCTGACTCCAGCTTCCTGCCAGTGAGCATCCTGGGAAGCAGCAGGTGTGGCTCAACTAATTGGCTCCCTGCCACCCACATGGAAAACCTGGCTTGAACTCCCTTCTGCTGGGCATCTGGGACTGACCAGTTGCTGGGCGGTATCTCTGGCTCTTTTCCTCTCAAATAAAAAATAAGTAAAAATTAAGAGAGAAAGTCAATTGAGTAACTAAAACATTAAATCTGTTCTAAGTTTGACACTGAAGTTGCACTTTAAAAGGCTGAATTGTTCTGGTAGAATTCAGAGTTGAATTCTCATAGAATTTTATTTTTCAGACTTCTCTTTCTCAAAACTAAAGCTTAGTTCAAATTTCAGGTATATTAAGGACTGTCATCTCCTACCTCCCATCTTCCTTGGGCCATACCTCCTCAAACATCTCCTGCTTCCCACCATCTTCCCTATGTAAAGGGGGGCCACGTGGAAGCTTATTTTTAGAGATGATGTAAACCACGGTGGATAGTTAGAACACTTCTATGCAGACTTGTTGTCTCAGTGCTTACTGTTAAAAAACACAGAACTCAAAAAGCAACCAAGCACACTTGATACTGAAATGGAGCTTACCTTAGAGCCGCGTTCATTAAAGATTATCTCTACATCTAGGATTTTGCCAAACTGCTGCAGAGACAAAAATCAGAACATCTATTTGTGACCAGTCTTTTATCCACACGCTTTACTTTCTTCTGAGAAGGGGCTACTCCCCCTCTCCCTTAAACCAGCACTCATTCACTTCCCATGTTTCTGCCTGTGGGCAGCTCCCAAATCAGCTCCTGATTTTCCATCGCTGAGTTCATGTTCTGTCCTTTTCACTCCTTCCTCGATTTACTCAAGTTGTTGGCCTCTACACATGGAAGCTGGTGTTGATATCCAGCGTCAGTCTATCATACACTGCTTTGTGTTAGCAAGCACTGGGGATTTTCCCCACTCCACTGCTAGTTTTTCAAATGTCTCAGTTTTTAAGAAGTAAGTCTAAGCAGAATTATATACTATGGAAGGCTGCTTTTCCTCCCCTTTCTTTTTAAATTAATGCAAGGAAACCACATTCATTGTGTAAAATACGAGCAGAAAGGAAAAGAGAAGCAGAAATAAAGCTGGCCTGAGAGGCCTCGTCTCTACGTTCTGGGAGGCAGGCCTCTGGACTTCCCTCGGGCACGCAACCAAGGCGACCCAGCATCAGCACATGGCCAAGGTGACCCAGCATCAGGCACGTGACCAAGGTGACCCAGCATCAGGCACGTGACCAAGGCGACCACAGCATCAGCACATGACCAAGGTGACCACAGCATCAGCACATGACCAAAGCGACCCAGCATCAGGCACATGACCAAGGTGACCCAGCATCAGGCACACTCCAGGTATTACTAGAACCTTGCATTTTCAACTTGGAAACAGATTAGGAACAACGACCCAATTCAGTAAGTACCTCTCCTTGTTACCATTTCTCTAGGCCACAAGTTAGTCCATTGTGCTTACATACTTTTTGACATTAAAGATCATTCCATATATTTGCCACTTTAGTATCTCTGCAGCTAACATCAAGAATATTTTAGGTAAAACTCTAATTGACAATTATTTAAATACTTTAACACTTGGAAAAGCAAACAACGCTAAAGACAAGCCAAAATCACTCTATTGTTAGCCAGCTAAACAGCTGACTAGAGAGGTCACACAAAACGCAAGATTTGCGGTTGGGTACACAAGGGACTTCAAAAACTTCATAGAAAATGGAATGAAAAAAAAAGAGAAGTTCCTTTGGATGCAAAAAACTTTTGAAATCTGTGCATATGTAGATTCTTAAAAAAGTTCATAGAAAATACGTATTATGAAAAAACTATGCAAGGATTTCAAAAAATTTTTCACACCAAAAATAAGGTTACCTTTTAATTTCATTTTCCACTAAAGTTTTCTGTTGGAAGTACCCTCACATACAGGAGGACAAAACTGGGTGAATCTGGGTTGAAGGCACATGAAGTGAATACAGAAGTACCTCTGCCTCACACCTTCCCCTGAGTAACGGACTCTCCAGGGGCTAGCACCATACAGCGGGTTAAACTGCCCCTTGCAATGGCGGCATCCTATCTGGGAGTGATGGCTTGAGTCCCAGCTGCTCTGCTTCTGACTCGCCTTTCTGCTGGTAAGTCCAGGAAGGCAGCAGATGACGGTCCAAGCTCTTGGGCCCCGTCACTCATGTGAGAGACCAGGTGGAGCTCCTGGCTTTGAGCTGGCCCAGACCTGGTTGTTTCAGCCATCTGGGGAGTGAACCACAGGGTGGAAGACATTTCTCTTTCTCTGCCTCTCCCTCTATGCCACTCTGCCCTTCACATAAATACAGAATTAAAAAAAAGAAAATCTTTATTTTTAGATCCAAAACTCAAGTTCAAAGAGGTTACATGAAATTCTCAAGGTCATTAATAGAATTTGAACCCAGGCTCTCTGAGGTCAGAATCCATACCTTTCCACTTTAATGAGCCACCTCTAACCCTGTACGCTCTGTGCTGGGTGTCTTCTTACACACTGCAGTGGCCGAGCAGAGAGCAGTAAGAGTGCAGCCCTGAGCCCAGCTCCCAGTCTTGCAGTCGAGAAGAAGAGAGGAAGCAGTGCTGTGTTGGGCTTATGTGGAGCAGAGAAGGATCCAAGACCGTGAGGAGGAAGAAGAGTGGTCCCCAGAGCTAACCTCAGGCTCGAATCACCTGGGAGATGCTTGAAAACGCCCGAGGCCACGCAGTCCCAAGCACTGGGTGTGGGACGCAGGCAGCAGTCTTTAAGCTCCCACATGGTTTCCAAGGTGGAGACAGGGTTAGGAATCAGGCTCTGAAAGAGCATGCTGTGAACTAAACAAGGACTGCGTGTTCAGGAGGCGGCTGTGTGACCGGGGCGGCCCCAGCACTGACACGCTCCCAGTGCGGGAAGCCCCGGACCAGCAGACTGAGCGGCAAGGCCGCCTCCCATGCATGTGACCGTGTCGAGGCAGAAAGGGTCTCCCAGAATGAGGAGAGTTTGCTCAGGCGCCTTCCTGAAGTACTAACGACAACACATCTGGTGACTTCCATTCCATTTAACTTGGACAGGACTGCAGAGACTTACCCCAAACATCTGTCGGAGGTCAGGGTCCCGGAAGCGGAAAGGAATATTGGAGACATGCAGTCTTTTAGGGGTGGATTTACTCTCTGAATTTTCACTACTTTGTGTCTGTGACTGCTGGCCGTCTGTCTGTGCTCCGCCTTCTGTCTGCTAAGGAGAGAAAGAAACACAAGCACTTCATGGGCATGCTGTACATCAATCAGCGTCCTCCCCTCCCCAGCAAGTGTCCCCACAAGACAAACAACTCAGTGCTCAGACTGCTCCGCGTCTACAAACACAACGCAGATCTTCTGCATATTTACAGCACGCTAGTAAAACGGGAGCTAACAGACAGAAGCATTAGTGACTCGCCCAAGATCACGAGGAGACTCATGCAGAGTGAAGATGTAAAAACAGCGCCTTCACTAGATTCTCAGTGCAGTTCTCTATTTGTGAGACCATTCTGTTTCTAAAGAAGGAGGGTACTGTACTCGGCTGTGGAAGTCACTGCATTTTTTTTGGTGTATCATCTCAGCTCCCGCAAGGAAACGCAGCAGGGGTTATTTTATATCTCATTCCTTATATTAGGCCAGGCTGCCAAAGGATTATTAAAATATTATTTACAAAGAAGAGAAGCCTGGTGACAACGGGCAATTTTCCTGAAAACTGAAAAAACACCTGACGTTGGAGCAAGTCCATGCTGCCCTTAATTTCTGCGACTCCAGCTAACTTTAGGATAAGGACTCATCCTTCCACAGCCCACAACAGAGCTGCTTCTAGACACTCTGTTGGCTGGAAAAGGCCCTGAGGAACCCTGACCAATCTACTGCACAGCCTACAAGTGGCAGATTTGCACACAGCAGTGCTGAGACAGTACGAGTGCCATGGGTATGGATTGCTAATTAACCCTCTCCTTTGCAACATCCCAGACCCATGTTTATCTGATTTCTTTTCACTCAATCCTCAAAAAAGCTGTTCTGTTGAGAAACACTATTGACAAATATCTAACGTGTGACCTTCTGGGCATGCAAAGAGATGTGCATTCTGAAGCACTCATCTGGCAACTGGAGACCTTTATGTCTTCACCATTCCCTATCAAGGACATGCCACACTGGATGGCTCGCTGAGACGATTAAACCAAACTGCTTTCAAAATCAGAGCGGGATTCGCTCTTCTTGTTATCTCAACTGAGAGAATTGAGTCTTTAACAGATTCCTCTGGGTGACACAGGGCAGATTCCCTCCCTTAGACCCAAAGTTCAAAGAAACCTGAATCAGAGACACTTCCCTTCAGCGATATTAGCAGCCACCCTGAAATGAAGTGTGAAAGTTTAAAATATAAAACATACTCAGGAATAAACTCCGAATGAATACCAGCTCTTCATGTGTCAGTCTAAGTGATGGCAGCTTTTTATCTCACTCCATTCAGGCCTTGCAGATGGCTTCACTGTGCAATGATTCATGTGATATAAAAATAGCAGGAAAGGGAAGAGCGAGGAGCAACGTTCTGAGGAAGTGTCAAGTTCTCAATCATCAATCTGGGTACAACGCAGACTAAACAACACACATTCCATTCAAAGACGAAGCTCACCAAGTAACTGGGGCAGCGTCACGGTCACCAACATGCAGTCAAAGCAATAAACACCAATCACGGCCAATGCTCATCCATGAATCTTCACACTTGTCTGCCATCTCACAGCTGGATCACACAGAACCGTCTCTACTATTAGATTTCATGTTTAAAAGTTTTTATTTATTTATTTGAAAGGTAGAGTAACTGAGACAGAGAGAGATCTCCCATCCACCATTTCACCATCCAAATGCTTGTGACAGCCTGGGCTGGGCCAAGCTAAAGACAGGAGCCAGGAACGCCCTCCACGTCTCTCACGTGGCTGTGAAGAAACCAAGGCCTTGAGCCACCATCTGCTGTCTCTCGGGCGCAGTGGCAGGAAGCTGGGGCAGAAGCAGAGGCAGATCTTGAACTCAGGCACTCTGTTATGGTATGTGGCTCAACCCACGGCGCCATCGCACCTGCCCCCACTTTCAAACTTGATGGGATCTGCAGGATGAAAATGCATCACTTCGAGAAGTTTGAGAGCCTGACTCTGCAAGCTCCAAACCAGTTTGCTATGGAGCGCACGTGTCGTCCGCACGGCCTGTCACAGTCACGTGTAGGGGGTGACTTGTGGTCGTTTCGAAGCATGCTGCCTGAGCACCTGCTTGCTGCTCCTGGGAATTCTTTGCTGTCTTGAAGACTCACTTTGAAAAGGCTGGATGCTAGAATCGTTATTTTCCAGTTTGTAGTAAACACCTAGTTTTAAAAAATTGGTTTCTGGGGCTGCCACTGTGGTGTAGAGGGTTAAGCCGCCGCCTGCAGTGCCAGCATCCTACATGGGCACCAGTTTGAGACCCAACCGCTCTGCTTCTGATCCAGCTCCCTGCTAATGTGCTGGGGAAAGCAGTGGAGGATGGCCCAAGTGCTTGGGCCCCTGAACCCACATGGGAGACCTAGAGCAAGCTCCTGGTTCCTGGTTTCAGCCTGGCCCAACTTCAGCCATTGTGATCATTTGGGGAGTGAACCAGCAGATGGAAGCGCTCTCTCTCTCTCTCTCTCTCTCTCTCTCTCTAATTCTACCTTTCAAATGAGTAAGGCTTGGAGCTGCTGCTGTGGCGCAGTGGGTTAATGCCCTGGCCTGAAGCGCCGGCATCCCATATGGGCGCCGGTTTAAGACCTGGCTGCTCAACTTCCTATCCAGCTCTCTGCTATGGCCTGGGAAAGCAGAAGAAGATGGCCCAAGTCCTTGGGCCCCTGTACCCGTGTGGGAGACCCTGAAGAAGTGGCTGGCTCCTGGCTTCGGATCGGCACAGCTCCGGCTGTTGTGGCCAGCTGGGGAATGAATCATTGGATGGAAGACCTCTCTCTCTCTCTTTTTCTCTCTCTCTCTGTGTAACTCTGACTTTCGAATAAATAAATAAATCTTTTAAAAATTATTTATTTCAGAGGCAGAGAGAGAGAGATAGTGCTCCATTTGCTGGTTCTCACCCCAAATACCTGCAATAGCTGTGCTAGGCAAATGCCAAAGCCAGGAGCCAGGAACTCAATCCAAGTCTCCTACGTGGGTGGCAGGGGCTCAAACACTAGACCCATCTCCTGATCACCTGCTGCCTCCCAGGGTCTGTTCTGGCAGGAAGCTGGGATCTTGAGCAGAGTCAGGACCTGAGCCCAGGCACGACACAGGATTTGAGCATCCCAAATGGCTTTGTAAATACTCATCCCAAGCACCCCATTTTGTAAACTTCTCAGTTTCCTTGTTCAAACCACCACTCAACCTCCCAGGAACCAACAAACGTCATCTCTCCACTTCCCCATTGCCGATTCCTCACCAGCTCTCCCTCTCTCTTTCTAACCAATTCAGGTTCAGAACCCGTCATTGCTAATCTCCTTGTCTGATTCTGCCAAGCAAAACCGCAACCCTGAACGAAGCCAGTCGTAGATTTTCTAGAAGCTTGAACCTGGGCAGGCAACTGCTGCAGCAGGAAAAACACCTCTCTTCAAATGCGATTTCACTCTGACTTCTTCTCTGCAAGTCTCAGATCCTTTCTTCTTTCCACTTATGCAATCCTGTTGAAAATGGGAATTCTCTATAAAATAGCAACTACATTCTATCCTAGACTGATCTAAGCATTTTAGTAGAAATACTTAGTGTTTCATAGTTGTTAGACACGGGCCTCAGTACTTTATATTATTTCAATTAATGTAATTTTTTCAACAACCCTACACAGTAGCTACTCTTATTTTTTTAATGAGACATAATAGGCACTGTTAATTCCCAGTTTTTAGATGAGGAGTCTGAGGAACAGAAAGATTGCCCAAGCAATAGAGCAGGCATTTGAATCCAGGCAATATGGCTCCAGAATGTATTTTTTTTTCTTTCTTTTTCCTTTCTTCCTCTTTTTTTTTTTTTTTTAGGAGAAAAAGAGAATGTGTGGTGGGGGTAGATGAGAGAGAGCAAGAGTGAGAGCGAGAACGAGAGCGAGAGCGAGACTGCTCCCATCACTAAAGGCTTGTATTGGCCAAGCCTAAGGCCAGGGGCTCCATACAGGTCTCCCACATGGTGGCAGGAACACAATTACTTGACAGCCCCCAATGCCGCCTCCAGGACGCTGGAGTCAGGAGCAGCAGCAGGAAGGGGACTTGGAAGTGAAGCCAGGTACTCTGATGTGGGATGTGGGGGTTGTAATCGCTGGGCTAAACAACCCATCCTCCAGAGTGTATGTTCTTAACCACTGTATTATTTTGTACTTTACATGTATTGTTTTCTTTAAACCTCAGAATAACTCTATGAGGCAGGTACTATTATTACTCCCGGGGGTCAAGGTAGCTGCCTGAGGTGACAATGTTAAGAGGCTGAGTAGGAATTCAAACCCAGGCAGCCCAGCAGGCCACCTCCTTTCCGGTACCACGTGCACCCATCTTTCTTCTTCTTAGGATGGAGGACACACGAGGGTCGCACTCTGTCACCTCGGTAGACAGTTATCTTGCGGAGCGGCAGGGGCTGGGAGGGAGGCTTCCCTGGAGGGCACAGGGATGCTGCACTTGCAGGCCGTGCAGCAGCTCAGGCTGTGCAGCGAGAGGAGAGAGAGGAGCAGCAGAAGACACTGCCTTCTATTTAGGACAAAGTCAGAAATCTACTAAGCTCATACGCAAAGGGGCTGAAGAGTGGTTTTCGGTACATAGTAGAACTAGGAAATACTGGACATGCTATGTTAATATCACTAAATGAGATAAATATTTTCCATCTGACATTCTCATTTTAATGTAAATGACTAATTGTCAAAATACACAAATCAGGGAGAAAATACACATGAAAGTTTTTAGGAGTCATCTTGGTGAAAAGTGGGAAAATGTTCCAGCCCTCAGCAGCCACACTAGGCTGCGTTAAAGCTGCTGAGTGACTACCAACTGCACAGCCAGCCTCCCACGGCCTTTTTGCACTCGGAGGCCAGTCTCTGACATGCCTTCCCCAGGCAGGGACAAAACAGGAGAGGCCAGCGGCTGTTCACCCATGGTTCACGGTGAGGGCTGGCAGCAGCCTGGCTCTGACACAGTCGCATGGCTGAGGCCTACTTGCGCAACCTTTGGACAACTCGGCCTCCACAGGGAGGGCTGGT